TGTGGATGTCGGATGAAGGTTTAGGGTAAAGTTTGTACTCCAAAAGGGTTTACTGACATTGAGTCTTCGGTAGAGTTTCTAAAAAACTTCACAGAGCTTTTTGCAGTGGCTTGCCAGCATTACTGGAATTCTGAATTACCAGCAGGGTTAGCATCTGAATTTGCAGGACTGGTGGGATTAATGCAGTGTTTTGAAATTAAGACATAATAATAATTAAGCTTTCTGAGCTTCAGTGTAAAGGAGAACAGAGAGTCTCAATGTCCTTTAAAAGATATCGAAAACTGTAAAACACAGCAAGTAACACTTGGGTTGCGAAGGTCACTTAAAAGGGATACTGCCTATTTGAACCCAGTAAGGCCAGTATTTAAAGTTAGTAAAAGGAATATTATAGGAAAACTTACAAATGGCAGCAACACTGTTTTTGTCAAGTTAAGCGATAAAGCCTCAAGCATTAGAAACATGAAAAAGATTATACTAAAGTCTTAAAGGTACAGGACCTAAAAATCTCTTCACTCAAACTTGCTAACTATGTCATGTAAAAAAACCTGTTAGAAATATGGACCACAGTCAGTGTTTTGGCAGTAATGCTGGTTGTTCAAATGAAAAATAAGAAAGAAACCATTCATGTTACCTTTTTGTTTGTTAGAACAGTGCTATAATGACTTGAACTGTGGTTAACTGTCAGATATACAATAGGCTGTGTAACTACGTGTGAACTAAAACAGTTCAAGCAGCTTGTCTAGATCCCGTAGTGCTGTTTAAAGGCTTTAAAACAAATATCAACACAACTTATTATTTGGTAATTAAAAAAATGCAAACCATTTTTACAAGGTATTATAACTTTAACATCTCTCAATTGTAAAGGCTAGGATTGAGGGTTTTTTTTTTTCTAACAAACAAGTCTATTATGTGAGAGTTAGAATTTATGATGTAGATAATGTTGACAATGTCATGTTTGCTCTTCTGACAAAAAATCTGTCTATATAGTGAATTTTTGAACCTTAAATAATTGGATGTCATTTGTATACAATCAGTAGTTCTCTGCAAACAGCAGCAAAAAATTCAGTTTTTTAACCTTAAAAACATTAAGCCTTATGAAAAACAATAGTTGGGCCAAATCCTGTTTTCAATCTGTTACCACACAGGCAGAACTTCTGTGGAAGAAAAACTACTTGTACAGAATTGGATTTTCTAAAGCATCTATAGGACTTAGGAGCACAAGTCCTATTGACTTTCAGTGGGACTTGTGCTGTTAAATCATTAGGTGTTTTTGATAATCCCACCCATAGCCAATTGGAGTTCCCTTTGGAAAGGCCTCTGTGCAGACCTGTATTTGGAAGGTGGAACTAGTAGCCTGGCCGTGTGAGGGCCAGGAAGAACTCTAGTCCCTTTGAGGTGCCAGTGTTACTCCCTGCCTACTTCCCAGGGTTGTACGGCAGCCCAAAGGCGACAGGAAGGAGGCAGGGGCTGGTGGTACGCCTTCTGGGAGCAATGTGGTTCTGCATCATCTGTTTCCATGGGCTATGCTGACCAGGCACAATCAAGGCCTCAGTAAGTAACATGGGATTTGACCCATCTCTGTTAGTAAACCTAGTATAGACACATACACTCCACATTATTCTGGAAGTGTAAGCATCATACTTTTCCATGAAGGCTTTTCTTCTGGGAAACTAAGTGGAAATATTTAAACAAATATTCTGATAACCTTTCAAGTAATTAAAAAAAGAAAAATACAAACTAATAGGTAGTCTTAGTAAGCTTAGTTTTAGAGTCATAAATGTAATAAATATTGCTCCCATCCAACAAACCCCTTCCTTTCAAGAGCATTCTCATTGGCAGCATGTAGCGGATTGTAGAATGGGGCTTCTGTGATCAACAAACTACAGCTGACAGTTTTCATTTGGGAAGCATGGCATGGAGAGAGTGAAAGGAACCCCAGCAACTAAGGCTGTCGATTAATCACAGTAAACTCATGCGATTAACTCCAAAAAATTAATCACAATTAAAATATTAATCACAGTTTTAATCACCCTGTTAAACAATAGAATAGCAGTTGAAATTTATTAAATATTTTGGATGTGTTTCTACATTTTCATATATATATTGTATTGTGTTGTAATTGAAATCAAAGTGTATATTATTTTTGATTATAAATATTTGCACTGTAAAATTATAAACAAAAGAAATAGTATTTTTCAATTCACCTCATACAAGCACTGTAGTGCAATCTTTTTGTTGTGAAAGTGCAACTTACAAATGTAGAAATTTTTTTGTTACATAACTGCACTCAAAATCAAAACAATGTAAAACTTCAGAGCCTACAAGTCCACTCAGTCCTAACTCTTGTTCAGTCAATCACTAAGACAAACAAGTTTGTTTACATTTACAGGAGATAATGCTGCCCTCTTCTTATTTACGTCACCTGAAAGTGAGAACAGGCATTTGCATGGCACTTTTGTAGCTGGCATTGTAAGGTATTTACGTGCTAGATATGCTAAACATAGCATTCGTATGCCCCTTCATGTTTCGGCCACCATTCCAGAGGACATGATTCCATGCTGATAACGCTTGTTAAAAAATAGTGTTAATTAATTTTGTGATTGATCTCCTTGGGGCAGAATTGTATGTCCCTGCTCTGTTTTACCCGCATTCTGCCATCTATTTCATGTTATGGCAGTCTCAGATCATGATCCAGCACATGTTAATTTTAAGAACACTTTCACAGCAGATCTGACAAAATGCAAAGAAGGTACCAATGTGAGATTTCTAAAAATAGCTACAGCACTCGAACCAAGATTTAAGAATCTGAAGTGCCTTCCAAAATCTGAGAGGCATGAGGTGTGGAGCATGCTCCCAGAAGTCTTAAAAGATCAACACTCTGGTGTGCAAACGACAGAACCCAAACAACCAAAAAAGAAAGCTGCCTTGGATTCTTATTGAGCAGAACCCATCATCAGCATGGACGTGTGTCCACTGGAATGGTGGTTGAAGAATGAAGGGACATATGTATCTTTAGCGCATTTGGCACATAAATATCTTGCGATGCCGGCTACAACTGTGCCATGCGAATGCCTATTCTCACTTTCAGGTGACACTGTGAACAAGAAGCGTGCAGCATTATCTCCTCCAAACGTAAACAAACTTTGTTTGTCTGAGCGATTGGCTGAAGAAGAAGCAGGATTGAGTGGATTTGTAGGCTCTAAAATTTTACATTGTTTTGTTTCTGAATGCAGTTATTTTTTGTACATAATTTTACATTTGTAATTTCAATTTTCATGATAAAAAGATTGTACTACATTACTTGTATTAGGTGAACTGAAAAATGCTATTTCTTTTGTTTTTTACCATGCAAATATTGGTAATGAAAAATAAAGTGAGCACTGTACACTTTGTATTCTGTGTTGTAATTGAAAATGTAGAAAACATCCAAAATATTTAAATAAATCATATTCTATTATTGTTTAATGGTGAGATTAATCGTGATTAATTTTTTTCATCATTTGACAGCCCTACCAGCAACACTACTGGCGGAGAAAATTCCCCACTTATCCTCACCCCATGCTGCTGAAATCAGCTCCTCTTCGCTAAGGAAGAACTGGAGCCACCAAACTCAGTCAATTGTACTTTTAATTAGATGACTTTCCTAGAGATATTAAACAGTTAATTGTGATAATTAAACAATATAGTGTTTTTTAAAATTTTCCCCAGCACTGTAATCCTAAACATGGGAACATACACAGCTGGAACCAAGGGTAACGTGAAAAAACAAACAACTAATCATAGGCACAGCTACATGTAGTCATTTCATCTTGTAAGCCATGCCATAGGTTTGAGTGGCTTCTTCAATTTTCATGGCATATTAATGCATGCCTAATAATTTCTGTAAGCTTTTGACCGTTCAAGGTTATAGTAGTCATTTGCCAGCATATACATACCAATGCTTTGCATTTTCATTTTTTTAAAGAACAAATGTTTTGTGCCATGTAAATATTTGCATATTACAGCTGTTAGCAGAATTGCACAATGTCAGCAGAGTTGCACATTCATTGGTTTAGCTGTCTTGCAATACTGTTTAGTTCTGAAAACTAGAAAAAAGCGCAAATCATATTTTGCATGTACACTATTCTACAGTGTAATATTATAATTTACTGCACCAATTTGTATCACCAACAAGTTTGTATAAAACAATTGTTTTTATTGTTATTCACAATCAAGTATCAATGTGCATACATATAGATTCAAGGCTCCCCATTTGTTCTGATTTCGTTCTAATTTCAGCAGCTAGGAAATCTTGCTCTATTAAGCTTGCTATATTCAATATAAAATAGCAATAGTAGGAGTTTAAACATTAAGGAGTGCTACCATGCCATGAAAACAAAAGGGGAACCTGGCATGAATCTCAGAACAACATATACTCTTCAAAAATAAATGTGTCAAATCTGATTTGTATATACTTAAAATATCTGTACATAGGTTTTCATGTGAGAGCACTAATCTGTATAAAATCCACCTCATCCCTTTTGTCCAGCCAACTAAATTTACGCTACTTTCTTTGCTTTTTCATTGCACAGTATATTCAGAGCTTTGTTTAACAATATAATTTAAGATTATTTAATTGCATCACATTGCAATGTTCAGTTTCTCACACAACAAAAGAATCACTCAGTTACCTTTTCAATGGACTATACTCTACCATTCAAGAAAACAAACTTAAAAACAATAAAGTAGCAGCATCATCATGCAAAATACCCTTGGAAACCAACGTTCAATAATCACAAAGAAGACATTTTGTATTCACAAGCTTTTTCGTTTGAGCATTTTGAAGGATTTGGCTAGCGTTACATAACTGCACTGTGAAGAGAGCACTGATCATTACATGGAAATTAACAGCTTTCTGAAAGGGACATGACACTGAGTTCAGGAGGAAAATCACTTGGTTAGATAAAATATCAAACTCTCAAACACCTTTATATTTCAAAATTCAGTAGCTTCTTTCTTGCTTTTTTTTTTTATTTTTATTTTATTTTTAAAACCAACAGTTTATGAACCTACCAAAACTTAGCTAGCCACATGTTTTGATTAATTTTGGCAGAATAAACCACTCATTGTAAGGCATTTCAGTCATGGTGAAGTTCTGGAGAAGACTAGCCAATATTTTCAATTCACTAAGCTGTTTTGTACAAACTGAAGTCTGCCAACTATTTTATATTCTGGACACAACTGATGTTCAAAGCAGCTGTAATGGTATTGATACAATAAAAGAGGAAGGTTAATGTAAAAGTATACAGGGTCTGCAACAAATTCAATGCTAAGATAAAAATAAATGGAAATCATATCATACATAAGCTATTTTAAGGGGAGCCCTTTTACATGAAGTCAGCAACGATACAACAATGAACACAAAAATCTTAGATTCCTCAATAAAGCATATATAGAATTCTGTTCTGATGGCATAGATGATGCAGCATTCACACATGTTTAAGGATCTGACACTCCAACATGCAGCCACTGTGGGTGCCTTTATGAATCTTTCACATAGACTGATACCAAGTTATGGGCATTGCTGTTCTTCTGCTGTCTGAATTGCTGACCCTTTGACAATGAAACTGAGGGCTAACGTTTTGACAGGGTCTTGATTAGTTTTGCAGATTTTGGTTTCACAGGGTCATAACTGGCAATGTCTGCAGCCAGATAACAGCCAAAGCAGGACAAACTGGATTCCTATCATAGACCAGAGTGATGGGCTCAGTCCAGAGACCCCACCACAGTCTGACGAATCTTCCTGTTGGCAAGAAAACGAGATAGTTCAGCATTAATTGACATTAAATCTCCAATGAAATAATCTACATTTTAGCCTGTCACTTGAAATACACTACAGGATGGATTTTGGTCTCAAATACATCGTTTTCCCTAAAGTGCCATTAAAAATATTCTTGGAGGCAACAGTCTGAATTTTTAAAGAAAGTGCGATAGAAGGTATACCTAGAATACTCTTGTAAAAACAAAGACAAATACTCACAGAGTCACTGTGGTCACTCACCATAAAAAATGCAGGATGCATACGCATTCAGATGAGAAATAACTTGTGAAACTACTAATGAGCCCTAAATCACTCTGTTTATCTGGCCTAAAATTCATGGGTTTAATTCTTTCATTGACAACACTGGTTTTTGGTTTTTTTTCAAACACCACTTTACTGCAAAGAGAGATAGAAGAGCAGTGGAATCTTTGTGGTAAGAGAAAGGAGCCTATTTCAAAAAATAGCCATGCCCAGTACTCTCTGTGGGCACGCCTTCAGAAGGAGTGTACTCTGCCAGACCAAATATCGCTATATTCAAGTGTTGGAACCAAATCTTGCATTGACTTACTGAATACCCTGTGAAAGCGCCAAAGTCTTGCTATTCAGGTCCGGCCAAGCTAGACACCACCGTTACGTTCTCCACTTCTCCCCCCCTCCCCCCAAACAGAAAAAACCATCAGGACTACCTGAAGATTTCCTCTTCTGCCTGAGAGATTCTCAGGGAGCTGGGTAAGTCAGCTTTACAGCCCTCTGCACCACCTCAGCAGACAAAGCTTTTATATTTTGCAGTGGTTTTATTCTGTATCTGGGCGAGAAGGAGCCATGCTCTCTTTATACTTGGTCTCTATCTACCTTCTGAAATATCTCATCACAGATGGAATAAATTATATCTGGTTCCTGCAAAATGAAGTGCTCAAAGTATACTGATTGGAAAGCTTATTATTCAGTGTTGGAAATGCACTGAAAGCCTGATCTGTGCTGTAGAAGACAAAGAAAGACACAGCCCCTGCCTCTAGATCTTAGAACTATATTTGCTGGGCCAAACTCACAGCTGATGTAATCTGGTTTAGCTCCATTGAAACAACTTTGATTTATACCACATGAGGATCTGGCCCATTGTATTATGTCCAGACTTATGGGGTTTGGCAACTCCAATAACACATAGCTAAAATAAACTTCAACTGAAGCTTCTGTCCTAAACTTGGCTCCTCCTAAGGTTCCCTACAAAGATTTCTGTATCCTTGACCCCAATTTTCTCTGCCCAAAGAGCTAATCGCTTACATCAAGGTGGAGTTAATGAGTCACACCTGCCACAGTCAGTCAGCAGCTATCAGCAACCATTTCCCTGCAGGGTTCTAAATCCTCTAGCCAGTGTAGGTAAACATGAAACTAGCCACCTGTATTACAAGAACCATCAAAAGCCCCGGCTTTGAAAAATCCTTAATCTGTATATGGAGTGTTTTAGCCATTATCTACCTAAAAAGTTGATTTGCAACAACACTTGTCAGACAGATTTTAAAACCTCTCTCTGGAAAATCAAAGAGTTATTTCGGAGGGGAATATGGGAGGTCCTGTGGTTTTTTCACTGCTCCGAGAGGTTAAACTGCCAAGACAAGACAGGCTAAGTGGACGACCAGAGATATTTTTTTATAAGTATTCAAATGCTTCTAAAATCTTTAGATCATTCTCTTGCAAAGAAAATGCCTCGCGTTTGCTTCTGTTCTTTACCAGTAGCAGCAGACTTCTTTCATTGTCAGCTTCAGTTCTAGTAGCTTGAGGTTTTGTTTGTTAATTGTACCCTAGAAATTCAAAATTCCAAAGGTTGCTGGTCAACTAATAAGTCACAAGTGTACTCTGTTGCACAAGTTTCTTCCTTAGAGTGAGCATCATTAGAAAGGCCATTACCAGTGATGGTTTCTTCTGACCGGAGTTCATCAACAAACAATAGCCTATATCACATTTCTGATACCTAGTCTCATCACTGAAACGCTGCAAAGGAAGTATCTCCCAAGAAATGGTATAAGCTATTGGTAAGTTTGAAAGTTTGAGATCTTCAAGTAAGGAATGGGTGTCTGCAGCTGAATATTGAAAGGAAGGGGCACAGCTCACTTCTTAAATAAAGCACACAGGAAAGCCAGGGGCTTAAAGCGAAACTGGGTATAATATGAAGAGGAAACTGTCAGATTAGTGAAAATAGCATCTGGTTAGGATACTGGTGAACTAGGTGGATGTCCACCTACAGGAGTTACTCAGTATTCAGTTTTTTCTTCACCTTTGTGTTAGAACAGATGACTGGGAAGATCACACTGACCACTGAACCCTTTCATAGTTAGATATCTTTGAAGTGTTGTAGCTTTCCATTGTCTATATGAGAATCATGAATAATATGCACTATTCTGGTACATTACATTAACAGTGCTGCACCTGCCAGATTGAAAAACACGGTACAGTATCTTGACTGCATGTCACTTCTGCTTCAGAGAGTCTTACTATCTGAGAGGAGTGGAAGATGGCTCAGAAATTGTGGGGTAGAAGTGGCTTAACAAAATCTCAGACAGGAGAGAGTATATAAGACATCCTCACAATGCTTGGTTGAGTTCAGCAGTACAAGTCTAAAAACATATAAGATGTATCTATTTTTTTAATGATTAGTGAGATTTTACTCTTTTGGGTTTTGCAGGTTGTTTCTGACTTAAATCATTTGGAGTTTCTGAGGCCTATGAACCAACTCATAGTGAAGCACGTATCTTCACAGTTTTGCTCATGACAATTCCTGAAGACATCTTCTGTGGGACTCAGTTTTTTCTGTCCTAATCAAAGGTGGATTATCCATGATAAGGAAGAAATCAGTGATACTGATTTAAATTATTTGTTTTTCCCCCCAACAATGTGTATTGTAATTGGCAAAGTTCCTATGTGCTATAACTGTGTAGATATGGGAAACAATGAAGGCTGAAGAAAGAGAGGTGGGAGGAGGAATGAGCGAGAGGCTGATTCTATTCTGATTTACATGTAAGGGGTGTCACCACTGAAACTAATGGAATCACACCAGTAAAAAAAATGGCGTGAGAGCAGAATAAGACTCAGTGAAACTGTTTTCCTTCACTCACCAACTCTGCTAAAGGAACTCAGTTGTTCTGGAATTTTCTGTGGACCTTCATCCCAAGATTCCTTGTATAAGTGCACCCATAAGAGTAAAATGTAGTGATGAAGAATCTCTGAGTCATGGCCACCTCTGTTGATAGAAAGATGCTTCCATACTCCTTTTCCTGCTCCAGAACATGGCTGGATATCCTTTTCATATAATTTAACTTCATGGAAGGCTGCCCAGAACTTCTCTTTCTTTCACATCATTCTGTTATTTACATAAGTTTCACTTACTTCTTCCCCTTCTGCCAGCACTGTCAGACACTGGACCTGTTCTTTTCCAATTCATAACACTACTCAGTCCTGAATCAGGATATTTTAACTGGGGCAATTTTTCTCTGTTACCTTATTATTAATCATTTGTAGCATGGATTTTCCCTCAACACCAAGAAGCCTTTTTTGCCACTTTCTTTTCCTGCTAGCAGTATGAGCTTTCCTATAGTCAAAAATCACTTGCCAGTTCTCCTCAACATCAAGGTTTGAGAGGGAAGGAGTGGGAAGAGAGACAAATCCAAACACTATTTCCCCCGGTTAGGCAGTCCTACCGAAATGATACACGATAAGCTTATTTTCTGACTATACAGTACCATCTTAATTTAGTATCTTCATGTTAGCAGTCAACATTTTTACATAGCCACACATTTACATCAAAGTGAATGTATCAAAATCTCCGGGGGGACAGCATGAGCTGTCAAAGAAATGTGTAAATACTTGCTTCCCTTTCAGACGCACATTATAACTAAAGATAAATGTGTGTTATAAAATATTAGTATTATTAATTAGTTGTATTGCAGTAGCACTGAGGAGCCCCAGTCACGGACCAGGACCCCATTGTGTTAGGTACTATATAAACACACACACACACAAAAGTTCCCTGCTCCAATGAGCTTACAATCTTGGCCTTTTAACATATATAGAAGACATTTTGAAAGCTGCATGTTGTAAGGAAAGCTCCTTGATTCAGCAAAAGACAATTGAGTTTGAGGTCCATTTTTGGTCATACATAAACGTTGGGCTATTTTCTGCCATTAGATGGAGCCATAATCCCTACGTGTACTGTTTTCAGATTGTCTTGATCAATAATTCCTGTATTAAAATGGGTAGACTATATGCCTTTTTTTGGAAAAGAAGTTGTGTTACCTCACTCACCCTAGCTATCAAAAGATTTTTTTGGTGCAATATTAATGATCTTTCTTGTGATGCCTGATGTGTTGATCATTTCACTGGTAGTCCATTTCACAACTGAAACATTCAATTTAGTCCAATCCAACAACATGTTAAGCAGTCTCACAGCACCCACTGACTTCAGCGGGAGTCAAGGGAGCTCAGTATCTTATAGGAGGTCCTCCTGTAAGAAACAACTTGCATGTTGTTTTCCTTGTTTATTATTATTTTTATTTTTTAAAGCAACCAGGTACAAGTACATAAGGGATACAGGCACTTTTGCTGTGCCCTCCCGAAAAGAAGACAAAAAGAAAGCTATAATTCATTAACCAGATTGTCAGCTGGTGTAACTCAGTTTTGGTTTCAGTGACTTCAACAGAACTATATAGATTTATACCGGATGAGAGCCTGACTCAAAGTCACAGAATTATTAAAGGCTGAACTGAGGAACAAAAAGTTAACTTTGAATCTTGCCTAGTTTCCATCTACTGCTGCTGAGAATCCATCTGTTGAAGTTGTGTTGTGAGGTTTTGCTTCCATGGGTGTTTTGGAATGACTTGCCGGACACAGAATTGGGTCCTTAGCAATTTTATTTATGGGCAGATTCTGCTAACCTTATGTATGATTAGTACCTTACTTGATTTTAATACAGCTACTTATAGAGCAAAGCACTACTCAACATGAGTAAAGATGTCAGAATCTGGTCTTCACATTTTACATGGGGCTGATGTTGGAGAGGAATTTTAATTCTTCCTCCCAATCTTGAACTGCACCTATTCAACTTCCTATGTTTGCTAGTCATGAGACTGTTTAATACGTTATGTGAAGCTCAGAAAACAACAGCTATCAAACTGAGCGTGACTTTTTTTTATTGACATCCAAGTGATTTAGCTTTCTCCAACACTAAAGGCAGTAAAGAAGATGAACTCTTACAACTGATTTGTTTTAATTTTTTTACCTAGTTATAAATATCACCCTATAACCATAACTATATGTACTTAACCTTTCAAAAATATCTAAAACATTGCTGAAAATATTTTAGAACATTTAGAAACAAATATAATTTATCTAATGTATTTTAACATTAAAACTTAATTCTCATCATAATATAATGATTCTATTTGTTCTTTTCAGTGTTAGCTTTACAATAATAGTCATGATAGCATCTCCCTCTAGTGGTCTGCTGAGAAGTTATATCAATACTGCTATCTATATACTGGCACTCTTCCATTGTACAAGGAACATGCTTTATGATGTTACTCAGATCATCGATTCTTTGGTATATTAGCAATGGTGGTAGCACAGAGTTTCCAAACTAATAAACATAACATGGAGACAAAGATTGAACTTTCTTTATGAACCCTGATGTCTCCATACACTAGTGTTCTAGATTCATAGTGCTGAATCTTGTGTTCTGAAACACATATCAATATTTTTATTAGAAGCAAAAGTTCTCTTGTATCTTTATTAGCCAATGACACTGTGTTTTGCTGGATATTAGGTTAAAAAAGTCAACATGATTTTTTTGAATTCCTAATAACAAGCAATGAGTCTTATTATTTTGATCATCAACCTCTGTATGGACTTGGTGACACTGTGAACTTCTAATATTCTCCACAGCAATGATTTTGGCAAACCCTAAAGACAGCATTCAGTTATGCTGTGACTTGTATAGTTTTAGATTTGCAGAAACTGTAGTCTCTTCCAACTACTTTGGACCTCTGTTTATTTCTATGTAGAAAGTTTGTCCTGCATGTCTTCTTTTTCTTCTTCCTCATTTTCATCTTTACCAGGAGCATGGAAAGCAATAAACATTTGGAAGGTCTAGCATAGAAGGTAATGACAGCGATATGAATAGAAGCTCAAATATTGGAGCCCTACAAAGCTGGCAGGTTCCTAACTCTATGGGGGAGATCCCCACAGTTCTGTTAATTCTGATTTACAAGTCTCTGGGCAGGGCTTTTTAAATTTTCCCTTAAATTGCTACAGGAATTTGTTCCAGATTGCTGTTTTTGGGACCCATTTCATTCCATTTTCTTTCGTGGGCTTAGTTAGTAAAAAAGATTGTTACTCTTTTATGCAAAGAACAAAAACAAAACAAAACAAAAATTAGAGAAAGTAACTGACCATCCACACCATATGAAAAGTTGCAGAAAAATGAAGATAGGAGCGGACATCATGGCAGAGGCACGACTCGTTGTGCATATAGGCTGATCCTATTAATAACGGGCAAAGTAGCAAGTAGAGGAAAGGAAACAAAACACAGAAAAAAAAGACATACAAGATGAGATTTCATGCAGTTTGCTGGCAGTTAGCAGAGTTAATGTGAAAGCATCCACTTAAGAGCAAGAGAATCATAGTGAGTATTGCAAATAAACTTAACCAAAATATTCCACTGTTACAGAGAATACATGACTTACACACCAATTAGCACATCAAGCTAGTGAGCAAGAGTTGTACTTTCACACATAATAACACCTGGATTGACATCTGTTGGAAAAGTTTGTACATTTAGGACTGTTTTTCAGTCCCCGTGGAAGCCAATTGTTTTGCATTTGCTGATCAAAAAGATTTTTTTTTAACATAATACTTTGTTTGTGAACACAAGTGGGTTTGAAAGAAAATGTATTCACTCCCAAGGCTTAGGCTTGTGTAAGCATCATTAACATCTGAGACATTACGTCTCCTTGGATTTAGCTATATCAAGACTCAGCACACTGTAACAGCAGGATCAAACAGTGGTACTGGCAATTGCTTTCACAAAACCATTTGTCTGGTCCTCTTGGTTGAAAGTAAGCCCTCTAGATATCTGGCTACTAAATAAGGGAAGGACAGGTTTAGGAATGGAGAAAGGTATTCAACATCAAACAATGAATACTTCCAAAAAAAGTAAAAATTTACCACTAAATTGCCTTCTGCAAATTCTGTAAACCCTTCACAGCTATTAACTCATTTGGTGTAAAAGCAGCTTCTAAAAAAATTAAATCTACAGTTTTGGGGTCAAATGCTTCAAAATGCCAAGTACCCTCAATACCCACTGTCTTCACTGAAGGCTGGAGAGCTCTCTTCACCTTGCATGATTGGGCCCTGAGAGAAGACAGCATTATGGATAAGAAGGAGTGACCACTGAGATTTTCATTTTTAGATAATACACAGTTCAACAACCTATCAGTTAAGATTTGACATAACATTTTCGATTGCTTTTCTCTATTTCACACAGTATTTAAAAATGAAAGAGAAAAGGCTAACAAATTATCCCTCTATTTTTAATTCCCTGCAGAACGGATTTGTATTCCTAAGAGGCATGACATCCTGAAATAGAATGCTTTAAGGTCCAGATTTTTAAAGGCATTTAGGTGCCTAGCTGCCTTTAAAAATCTGCCCCAAATATCTTTTCAGTATTCAGAAATACCAATGAACAAAGCTTATAGACTAGAGAAATAACCAGGATAACCATCTGAGTGCTTCCCAGAGCCATGAGGGAATTATCTTTGGCACCATCATGCGCAGAGCACTAGGTTTCTTGACTTATTACTATTGCCAGGAATCATATGTGAAAGTGCAGTGTTTACAAGACAGGCAGATAAGAAAGCAGCTGTTAATTTTATGTTAATCATGGAACATTTGAAATAAAGAGACTATGGTTCAGAACAAACAGTATGTTTAATGAGAGATAGGTTATGTCATAAGATGTCAGGTACACTAAAACACAGGTTTTATTGTTGTTCTGAAACATCTCCTATAACTGCTTTTACCTGGAAAGACACTATCTGAGTCTTAACACCTGAAGAGTTCAACCTTACCCGGTCATCTTTATCAAAGCAGACATCAGGCCCCTTTCTGTATCTGGGTTGCTTCACCATTTCACAAGGATTTGGCCCTTCAGCTGATCTTCGGCTAAGGAATGTAACATTCTTTTCCCATGTACAACACATTAGCAGCAGCACCAGCGGTTTGGTTTTATTTTTACGATGACAAGCAGTGTAAGTGATGTCAAATACTTATGGCCTCCTCCGGGACACATACTTCGCCAGCTACGGCTTTGTGATGATGTTGCTTGCATCACATTAACCGCCCATTGTTACTGTTCTCTATTAAAGAAAACGGCATTAATAGAAACCAAATGTGCTTTGTTTTGACTTTAGCAAGGCTTTTGATACTGCCTCCCATGATCTTCTCATAAACAAACTAGGGAAATGCAACCTAGATGGAGCTACTATAAGGTGGGTGCATAATTGGCTAGAAAACTGTTCCCTGAGAGTCGTTATCAGTGACTCACAGTCAAGCTAGAAGGGCACAGCGAGTGGGGTCCCACAGGGATCAGTTCTGCGTCCAGTTCTGTTCAATAGCTTCATCAATCATTTAGATAATGGCATAGAGAGTACACTTTTAAAGTTTGCGGATGATACCAAGTTGGGAGAGGTTCAAGGAGGATTAGATTAAAATTCAAAATGAGCTGGACAAACTGGAGAAATGGTCTGAAGTAACTAGGATGAAATTCAATAAGGATAGATTCAATAGAATCTCCTTCCTTAGAAGTTTTTAAGGTCAGGCTTGACAAAGCCCTGGCTGGGATGATTTAATTGGGGATTGGTCCTGCTTTGAGCAGGGGGTTGGACTAGATGACCTCCTGAGGTCCCTTCCAACCCTGATATTCTATGATTCTAAGGAAAAATGCAAAGTACTCCACTTAGGAAGGAGCAATCATTTGCATTCGAAATGGGAAATGACTGCCTAGGAAGGAGTACTGTGGAATGGGATCTGGGGGTCATAGTGGATCATAAGGTAAATATGAGTGAACAGTGTAACACTGTTGCAAAAGAAAGAAACATCTTTTGGGGATGTATTAGCAGGAGTGTTGTAAGCAAGACACAAGAAGGAATTATACACTCTACTCCATGCTGATTAGGCTTCAACTGGAGTATTGTGTCCAGCTCTGGCCATTACATTTCAGAAAAGATGTGGACAAACTGGAGAAAGTCCAGAGAAGAGCAACAAAAATGATTAAAGGTCTAGAAAACATGATCTGTGAGGGAAGATTGAAAAAATTGGGTTTGTTTAGTCTGGAAAAGAGAAGACTGTCAGAGGACATGATAACAGTTTTCCAGTATATAAAAGGTTGTTTTAAGGAGGAGGGAGAAAAATTATTCTCCTGAACCTCTGAAGATAGGACAAGAAGCAATGGGCTTAAATTGCAGCAAAAGAGGTTTAGGTTGGACATTAGGAAAAACTTCTTAACTGTTGGAGTGGTTAAGCACTAGAATAAATTGCCTCGGGAGGTTGTGGAATCTTCATCATTGGAGATTTTTAAGAGCAGGTTAGACAAACACCTGTCAGGGATGGTCTAGATAATACTTAGTCCTGACATGAGTGCACTGGACTGGATTAGATGACCTCTTGAGGTCTTTTCCAGTACTACGATTCTATGACTTCTAGGATAACCTTCCAGTGCTCCTAACCAAGATAATAAAGATACACACGGCAAGACTGTATGGGAAAAACAGCCAATCTAAAACCAGAATGCTTTACTACAGCTATAGGAGGGCTTCTCCCATCACTATAGTTAATCCATCTCTCCAAAAGGTGGTAGCTAGATCAACAGAAGAATTCTTGTCTCCGCAGTGGCTTAGGTTGGCTTAACTATGTCTCTCAAAGGTGTGGATTTTCAGATCCCTGAGAGACATAGCTATGGCAATGTAAATTTTCAGTGTAGACCAGCCCACAGTAAGGGACAAAGATTTTCTTAGGGTTTCAGCTTTAGAGTGCAAGGGCAAACAGATGAAATGGCATACTCAGGGTCACTCGTCAGATCAATGGCAGAAACAGGAATAGGACCCAGGTCTCCTGAAACCTGGGTATGCCCCATCCACTGAGTCATTCTGCCTCAATTCTGGGACAATTCTATACCCTGATGCAAGCCCCCTGGACACACCATGGATGAACTGGATCTTGAGGTTAATATTTCACTTTTGTGACTGTAACACTTGTGCATTAAGTTTCTCATAACTTTCTACAGTCTCTATCTGAAATTTTCCATCTAATCTAGAGGTTTTTTTAAAACAACTAATGCTTTACAACATTTTAGGGCTTTTACAGATTTTGTCTGAGCTAACTTGCACTCAGGGTATTCCATTTACACAATTAAAGCAAATGTTACTGTCATCACATTCAAGTCAATCGCGCTGTCCCAATGCAAGGCACAATCCAGTTTACTATATTCAAGATGCAAAATGGCATGGGATTTGGTCATAAGCCTAAAATGTTAAAAAATAAATAAATGAAAAGACAACATACGGTCAATTTCTTCCCTAATTTACATCTTAGCAGTATCCACCCATCCACTGATGCCATGGTGGTTTATATGTGATGAGTTTTATGTCATGCGAGAAAGGAGAGTTAGAAACAGGGATGATAACTTAAAAGGCCATCAACATTAGCATATCCCTACCAGACAGCAGGAAGCGGAACCTAATAAACACCTAGATGAACAGCACTCAAAGGTCATCCTTCCCATCTGTGTGTTGTCATGCTACATCTGCACTTCACAATGGGCCCTGGTTATGAAAAAGAAAGCTTGACTTACTATAGCTCAGGTGAAGAATACATATAGCAATTCATTTAGTGAAAAATTAGCCTAGCCAGCTGGTCAAGCTTTCATCTACTGCCCCGAGCCCTGTGAAGTAAAATGCCCCATGGGAAATTCTTATCTGTTTCTTATTAAACTTGCTTTATTTTGTGCAGCAGGCCCTGTACATAACCTGTAGACAGTACCCGTAGTTAATCAAACTGACATGGAGCCAAGCCGGTCAGAGTAGCAGTCTACATTTACAGTGCCAGAGATGCTGCTTCCACTGATGTAACCTCCCTTTCACCTGAAGTGCAGACAGAATTCCTGTGTCGTAATTAATGTGATACTTAATGTATCGCTTTTGCCGAGGGATTTCCATCATCTCCACCATAAGCAGCTCTATCATCAGGTACAGGAGCAGCAGTGCTTTTCTAGGGATTTGCAAATCTCTCCTCATAGGTCTCCGTGCATGTCAGGAATATGTATTTCTGGCCACACTATTTTTCTACTGTCGGGGTTAATCGGTCAGATTCTGGCCCCCTGCCTCAACACCTTAACGCCACTTCATAAGGGCATAAGGGCCAAAAAGAGTGTAAGGAGAATTACCCTGGCACAGTATATGCTGCCCTATGGTGCTCCTGTCGCTATGGCATATGGGATATGTTTACCAGAGATGGAGATGAGAAGGAGTAGCTAGAGTCCTGAGCAGCCCACAGACAGCAGGGGGAGAGCTGCCCTCATTTAGAACAATGTGCTGGAGGGAACTTGTGCAAAGCGCTCTATATTAGAGCCCTGCGTGGGACAATTTTTTAAATCTCATTCCCATCTCATCCCGCAATACCCAGTCCCAGCTGCTACTGCATTGCTTCTTTCATTTTTATCCTGCTCCCACCTGGAAAAAGCTTTAGATCCTGAAAATCCCGCAAGATAGACAGATTCTCCCTTGCTACTAAAAAACCAAACCAAACCAACAAAAAGACAATTGGTTAATATAATATATATGTATAAACGGAATTCAGACACAACTTTTACCATTAAAAGAATAAAACAAATCTTACTTAAAAGATATAAAAATAATTTAACTCCTGTTATGAGACATCAAATTTCTTTTCTATCCTTTGCTCAAACTTAAGTATTAAAACCTTTACTTAAAAAAAAAAAAAGAAAAGAAAAAGTTGCTTTACATTGCTGAAATTCTATTCATGACATACCAATGAGAGATTTGGTGTTTTTCACAAATTACCGCAGTCTAGTATTTTTGCCCACCCTATCCTGCCACGAAGTACATTTTACCTGCTATTATGGAAGCTAGTCCTGCGGGAGTTGTGGGATCCCAGTCCCGTTGCAGGGCTCTGCTCTGTACTCTGCTTGTATTTCCTGCTCTGTGGCCTCCTGCAGTCTATGAAGAAGTCCCCTGGGTGGCAAACAGAGGTACTGCAGCCTCCATGGCCAGAACAGCTCCAGCCCCAGCAGAAAGACCTACTGGCAGCAGGTGCTCCTGCGCCCTGCAGTATGTCAGCCACACTAGACAGATGTTACATTTATTGGTGGGGCCTGGTCCTATTAACCCTGTCTTGGGCTGTGCCTTTTGGCTTGTGCATCTCAGCAGAGGCATTTCTCTTTACCCTGTCAGCTCTACTCAGAATGGCTGCAGACCCCAGAGCACCCAATACACTTGAACAGGGGCTTTTCACTTTTTACTCTCTCGCTGTGGTGAGGGGAGGGAAACTAGCATGTGATTCATACTTAATAGTCTTCAGCCATGAGGGATAGCTCAGTGGTTTGAGCATTGGCCTGCTAAACCCAGGGTTGTGAGTTCAATCCTTGAGGAGGACCATTTAGGGCTCTGGGGCAAAAATTGGGGATTGGCCCTGGTTGGGCTAGATGACTTCCTGAGGTCCCTTCCAATCCTGATATTCTATGACCTCAGACAGCATGTAATTGTTAAGCTCTGCCCTCTCCCCTTCTATTTCTTCAGGTCAGTCACCAAGTTGTGTGACAAACTGAGGGGCTTGGGATGCACCTTCTGGTCCTCTGCAGAAGGGCCTGGTTCCTGCAAGTTCACCAATAGCAGGATGCTATGACAACAGACCATTATATACTTCAGTGATAGCTGCCCTGACCTACTGATAAGTCATTCCAGTGCACGGGCTTCAGGAGATTTTGCCTGGTAACATAGTCTGGGAACAGGTATTATGAGCAGCATATCAAATACATCTACATAAAAATTGATAAAAGAAAAGGAGTACTTGTGGCACCTTAGAGACTAACCAATTTATTTGAGCATGAGCTTTCGTGAGCTACAGCTCACTTCATCGGATGCATACCGTGGAAACTGCAGTAGACATTATATACACACAGAGACCATGAAACAATACCCCCTCCCACCCCACTGTCCTGCTGGTAATAGCTTATCTAAAGTGATCATCAAGTTGGGCCATTTCCAGCACAAATCCAGGTTTTCTCACCCTCCGCCCCCCCCCCCCCCCCACACACACAAACTCACTCTCCTGCTGGTAATAGCCCATCCAAAGTGACTACTCTCTTCACAATGTATATGATAATCAAGGTGGGTCATTTCCAGCACAAATCCAGGTTCTCTCACTCCCTCACCCCCCTCCAAAAAACCACACACACAAACTCACTCTCCTGCTGGTAATAGCTTATCAAAAGTGACCACTCTCCCTACAATGTGCATGATAATCAAGGTGGGCCATTTCCAGCACAAATCCAGGTTTTCTCACCCCCCCCCACTCCCATACACACACAAACTCACTCTCCTGCTGGTAATAGCTTATCTAAAGTGATCATTAAGTTGGGCCATTTCCAGCACAAATCCAGGTTTTCTCACCCTCCGCCCGCCCCCCCTCCCACAACTCACTCTCCTGCTGGTAATAGCCCATCCAAAGTGACCACTCTCTTCACAATGTGTATGATAATCAAGGTGGGCCATTTCCTGCACAAATCCAGGTTCTTTCACCCCCCCCACCCCCCTCCAAAAACCACACACACAAACTCACTCTCCTGCTGGTAATAGCTCATCCAAAGTGACCACTCTCCCTACAATGTGCATGGTAATCAAGGTGGGTCATTTCCAGCACAGATCCCACTTTGAAATGATTCCTATTTAGTCCATGCTATGTTTTGTTGTATACAAAATGTATTTGATAACCATCTGCTGACTCAGATACTACAGTGAGGTGTGTCACAGAAATGTATATAAATAGGCCACATTTCTCCAAATCTTGTTCTAATATTTGGCCAACAAACATCAGTTTATACCACTAGAAGTTCTGACTTTAAAGGATACCCGGCTTTTCTGCTTGCATCAATGGCTTTGGGTCACAGGAGTGGCACATCTTTTGGCTGTCACTAATTATAAATACTAGATTGGTGTGTGAAACTTTTTCTGCATGATAAAGTCTGAAAAAGAAACACAACTCTGGTTAAACAAAGCAAACAGTATATCTTCTGGGGCTTTTCACGTTCACTAATGAGATCACAGGTAACACAACTTTATAGATTGAACTAGACTGGTATACAAGGGACAGCTGGTCTTTTTTAACAATAGCAAGGACCATTCAAGGGGAAATTTTGTAATCTTTATTGACAGGACTGTTGTTCTGCATTAGAGCAGATGCTGTGATTAAAAAATGGAAAAAGGGCACAGGGTGATGTTACACCACTAAGCACTTATAAATCCACAAAGAGCCTTTTCAGTTAGAAAATAATGTATTTGAATATATCACATCTCTAGTCGATACAGTGTATCTTAGACACTATAGTTAAGAGTATTTATGCACTTTCATGGCTTATTTTCAGGTGTTTATACTGTATATTTAGACAGCTAGATAGATGGATAGATAGATGTAAATAACCATCCAAGTGAGCTGAGAAATAATGTAAAACTCATAAACAAAGAGAATATTTTCTAATTGCTGAAGAAAAGCTTTTGTGTTGTTCTTAAAGTAGACAGCTATTTATTTGTAACTGGCTTCCTGACCCATTTTTGCGCACATCTAACAAAACCAGACAAAATCTATCCTTTGGTATAAGTGGACAAAACTTCATTGACTTCAGTGGAGTTTATGCCAATGGCTAAATTTGACCCAACAGCTCCTTCAGGTCATCTGTAACTTTACAAATGACTCATTCACACTAGTTGGCCATTTTAGGGGCCCAAACATCTCTTCTGATTAAATCAGTGAAAGATAATCTCTGAGGATGGCTCTGTTTCTGCCCATAGCAGCACCATTCTACCCTTTATGGAATTCCGTTTTTGACCCTGTGCTGTGATTGTGTCCAATTCCTTGTGTGTACTTTGCTGGACTGAAATCCCCTATGAAACATTTTCTAGGTGTTCTTCAAGGCTTGGCCGTTTATAACGGTTCTGTTGTCTCCAACACTTTCAGGAATGTGCTATAACACATCCTAAATGTCCTCTCTTTTACCCATTTGTAGCTTAATGTTTGTTTAAGGATTTTAAACTGAATGATCACAAATCTGTCTACACAGAGATCTTCAAATGGCTCCTAGTTTTTTAGAACATGTTAATTTTATGGTCATTTTTAAAGTCTTTCACTTTAGAAAATCTATCAATCTAATAACTTAGTATGGAAGAAACTTTCAAGTCTCACAAAACTATATTGAGATTGTAACATCTTTAATGAAAGCAGCAGCAGCACTATTGGACAACTCAAGGCAAAATATGAAGAAGCTGATCAACCCTTTAACATTATCTGCATTTAAATTGATAATGGGATGCACAAAAAAACCCTCAGTTCTGAATATCTGCGATAGAACTCAAGAATTTCAATTAATAAATTAGAAAAAAATACAGTGAAAAATATAGGAATAAAATATATTAAACACCAATTATCCTATTAAAATATACATGGAGACAGTCCCATAAAACAGAACAACACAACTTGGAGTAAAATAATTCTGTGCACTGTTATTACTGTTTCAGTATACACTAATACACACATATACATTCTGTCGTGTATGTACTACACTACACACATGTATATCTTTATCCTTCTTACATACATGTGATAAGGTTATGACACAGTATAGTTTATCCTTCATACAGTAATGTAATTACCTACTTCTAAGATAAATATGCACCAAAAAGGCTCCTCTTTACATTTTCTATTCAAAGTTGAAAATTTACCTGGAACAGTTTATACAGTCTACAATCCCACTGAAGGATTTATCGTCATTTTCAAAGAAATACTGAGTTTGCTCAGTAATGCAGCTCTGTTTGGATAGGGCAGCAGTGTAGTCATCATCATCTGCTTCCGCTGAGAAGAAAGAAAAAACAGAAATATTTTCAACTCATATAGTGGAGTGAGCAGAATTCGGCTGGTACCTGGATTCTTATCTTCTAGTTCATTCAAAGTTCACCCTTTAACAAAGCTGAGTAGTGACTTACCTGCCTCAAGGAAACGTGGAAAAGTCAGGCCCAAAAACAGCTGTTGCAAGATAGACCTGAGCACAGAAAAAATAATTTTGTTAATGAAATAGTTATTTCCCTCTCCTTTAAACATAGCTTTGCTAATATGGGAGCCCTGATTATTTACAGGAGACCCTAAATACCACTGGGATAAAAATAATTGTTAATAAAAACAGCAACAACATAACTTAATTGCACTTATACCAACTAATATGAATGTGTTTCTTTAATATCTTACATTTTGTCAGTCACCCTCTTCTTCCCCTTCAGCTACTGTCCCACATTATCTTTTTACTTGACAATCAATATTCAGTGCCCCTCTTACCCATAATTCAGCTAGCAGAGATGCTGAAGACCAGTTTAACTGTTATCCTTTAAGACTCCACAGAATGAGAAACAGGAATCCTGAGATTACTCTCATATTTAAACCAACTAGGATGCCTTAAATGACAATAGCCACACGTAGCTCTAAGGGGCTTCTGGCACTTTCCACTGATTAAGCCTCACAACCCTCCTGTGAGGCAGATAAACGCTGGAGTATTCTAACCATTTCATACAAAAGACATCTCTGTGCCAGCAACTTGTATTTCTATCTCCACTTCTGAACTTCAGCCTATGCCTGTCATTTCTTCCTCGATGCTGTGAAAAAATTAAGCTTAACACAGATAACGTTAAGCTCTTATTTTTCTGTGTTCATGCTCACATCACTCCTATTTCAATTATTGCAACCTCCTTCTCTCTGGTTCATCTGTCATCCACAATGCCCAACCCCTCCTACTGGAACCATGACAATTAGATTCCTTCTCTCATCATTCCCTCTCTTTGAATCCCTCCCCCAGCTCCTTCTTCATTAACTTTAAACTTCTTGTCCTCACCTTGCAAGCCCTACTTCTGCCATCAGATCTGTCCTGGTCTATTATTGTGGGACCGTACTCCCCCATACGTTCTACTACTCATAAATGCCAGTCTTGATGAACCTTTAATCTACTTCCTCCACAGCCTCATATATTTTTTAGAAAATATATATGCCAATTATTTTTGTGGCTAGGGCTCTGCAATACTGCATCAAACACTGGGTTTGTTTACATAACATCAGGATTGGGATTGTTGCATGGGCTGTGTGCTCATCTGCAGGGATGAAGAGAAACCTCATGTTATTCAACAGTGACTCCGCTGGCTGACCAGGAAGGGAAGTCCCCATCAAGCCCTTTTTTTAGCTTGAAAGAAAGTGATAATGGAATTCACTGAGGATGAGGAAGAGAAAAAGCCTGAAAAAATGGGAAAGAGCCTCAACGTTCCCAGAGTGCAGAGGACAGAAGATATTTATTTAACTGATTCCTCATGCTCCCCACATAAGCTTTGAAAATTGTCACTCATTATCCTATTCCAAATTTTTGCCCGAAATGTAACAGTTATCCCTAACCCAGCTTCTTCTATTTCTCTGCATTTGCTTTTACTAGTTGCCTTGCTGAAATGCACTCTGATCGGCCCTTTCTATTCCACTTCCCTAATGGCCCCTCAGCCTGCTTGTGGTCTAGATTCCATTTCAAAAATTTCCGATGAAAGCACTTTCTTGTGGGTGCTTTCAACTGAAACTCTGTGGAAAACAAGACCCATGTCTAAATTGAGTCCAGACCTCTGAGATTGATTTGAACACTGATAGCCCAAATTTTTCTGTTTGAGCAGAGCTTAGGTTTCGTCCCTGGATCATTTCCCATCTCTGGTTTTTGAGCTTCATTTTTGTTCCAGAAAACAAAGATCTTAACTGTTCCTGTTAACTAAATGTAACCAACAATAAAAACAAATATCCAAAGCCTTCATAGTGCCATCTGTGAGAGAACTACTTTCTATATATTTGTTCAGCTGTGATATATTGCAATGCTTACCTCCAAATAGTGTAAATTACCTACTATTGTGCTACAGAATATGCACCACAAAACCTTATCATGAAGGACAGATATTTTCAGAGGGTAAAATTCACAGCAGTGCAGAAGGCCTGTCTGACGCCCACCATACTACTTAAGTCCCAATTAAATCTTTGCCGCATGGTTTTGGTATCACAGGGGTGCTTAATCTGTATAGGGCTAAATTTCATTATATATGCATTATGAAACAACCAAAACAACTTTTGTGGCTATTGCTAATTACTGCATGGATTTAAATCCAAAATGAGGTAACTCTGTGGTGTGGAGTTTTAGAACAGTTTTGAGATTTATTTGGTATTGTGTTTAGCTAAAGATAGTAACCATTAAAACAGTTAAAAGGTGAAATCCTGACTCCACTGAAGTCAATCCCAAAATTCTCACTGAGTTCAACAGAACCAGGATTTCACCCAATAGTTCTAAAAGTTAAAATTGACTGCCATTCCCTCTTCCCTGTTCTATGACAGTTTCTAAGGTATATGTTGCTGGAACATTACCCAAAGTTCTTTTTGTTCTTGCAGATGAAGTATGGTTTTGTGGTTTAAACTGAGCAAAGGAAAAAAAATGGAAACAAGCTGTTATACTATATTGTTTTATGTGGCTTCTTCCTTGAAACAGTATCACTAGTTTATAGTATCTTTGATAAAAAGACAATGAACAAAACCAATTGACTTTTTCAATGAGCAACTTTCAGTGAGTTACACTACCAAACAATGCATTTTAATGGCATCTGGTGTTCTGAAATAGGACTTGCTTATGTTTTCAAATAGAAGCCCTTATGTGCCTAACAAAATGGTTCACTGACACCTCAAAAACTGACTCTTTCTCAACCTTCTTGCTTAAACATGCACTTGAAAAAGAACAATATAGTGCACTGAATTATGAATCGAACAAGTCCATCTGAAAACTGCATGCCAGCAACCTAGATTAAAGGTGATTCAACACAAACCAATGCCTGCGTCTACGCATGTTCAATGTAGACCGAGAACAGAGAATTACAGAGTCTGAGAAGTCTCATTTTCATTGAAGATCAATAAAATGAACTTTCCAAAGAGTCTAGGAAGATTACTAAAAATGTTCACTGTATGAGGCTGGAGAAGTAATACCAGCCCTTAAGATTTCAGAACAGCTCCTAGGAATTCAAGAGTCTGTTATTATCATACATAGACACTACAGAAAGAAGATACTAACTGTTACCAAATACATTTTCTTTTTACTGAATTGTTAATTATGACGTTGGTATAAACATTACCAGCATATCTGAACTTACCAGGCAGCTGCAGAGGCCCACCATCCGACATGCAAAATATCCGCTACTGTAGGCTACAAAATGAAGTATAAAGATTGTACCATTAGTACAAGAGTCAGCACATAGGTAAGGGGGATGGCGGTAACTTGGCAAGAGGATACTGACCACGTATGCGGAACGAAGACCAGCTCCTTGCTTTGGTTCTTCTTCAGGATCACAAACAGACTGATAGTCGTAAGACTTGTTAAAGGCATATAAGGACATGTTAATGAGGTTTCGCATCAGGTCAGGGTCAATCTCACCAAAGAATCGTCCAATCTGGTGCAGAAAATTGTAAAAAAAATGAGTTTAAACACTTCTAAACTGATGTCACATGATAAATAATATACATGTAATTTACATATACTGAACAATGCTGTTGAATTCAAAGAAGGTATAAATCCTATTGTTCTTAATGTGGGATATATGGTGATAAAGTATAAAAGTCTTTCTTTTTATATTCATTTTGCATTTACTTTACATTCTCTAAAATAATAAATTGTTTTCAGACCTACTCAGGCAAAACTCTAAACGACTTCAGGGGAAGTTTGGCCTGATTTACAGCTGCATGATTTGGTTCATTGTTATTATAAAACCCATAAGAGACTCATTTTTCAAAGGGGCATCAACTATTTCCATATCTACTATTTCCATATCTACTTTGAGTGTTTAGGTTTTTTCCCTATGAACCAATGACTGCACGTGCAATATTTTAGGTGCAAATTCCAAGGCCATTTTTGAATGTTTGACTCTTGATGTGATTAGATGGTAACTTGTGTTTCCCCCTAATGTTTGTACTCATTCCACCAACAGTTACCCAAATCTGTTCACATGCTATCTCAGTATCTCCTATATGGTGCTCACCTCTTTTTTCTAGGTGGAAAAAGGCAGAACCAACCAAAAGATGCTTCTGTGGCATATTTACGACTTTACCATGTAATTCCTGAATTCTGTCTCTGAGGAGAAGTAGGCTGCTGCACCCCACCGCACAGGAGCCACCATCTTCTCCAGAGATCAAAATTTCCCATGCTCAGGCTTTCCAGCTGACCTGGGATCTTACCTTTCATTACATAACTGACTATAGTTGTCTCTCATCAAACAACAGCTATTGCACTGCAATGTTGCACTGTGATGTCTTAACACCAAGACACAAAGATGGTGATGATAATATGTTGAATTCTCATGAAATAGATTCTTTATGCAATAATTCTTCAGTGTAACAATTAGATTTGATAGAAAATTTTTCATAGGAACTTTTTTTTTAATTAAAAATGGCTTTTTGATTAAATGGACATTTTTAACAACTGAAAACCAAAATATTTTTGTTGTTTTACCGAAGCTCTAAAAGATACTGGAAAAAATTTATTTTTTCATAGAAAAATATAACATCTTCATGTTCTCATACATTAACACAGAATAATTCTGTGCTCCAGGCACTTACACTACATTATCCTTATGCTTCAAGCAGTCTGTCTCAGGGAAACAGTGCAAACTCTTCATCCCATTTCTTATGCACTCCCTTAAATCACTATAAGTAGAGCCACATTAGTGCAGGCCTAGACATGTCAAGTCACTAGTAAGACAGTGATAAAAGCTAGCAAATTATATGAAATTTGAGATTTGCAAATTTTCTTTGTGGTTCGGACATGAGGCTGTGATTCACCACCTCAAACTCTGATAACTGTGATTTAAATAAATGAAATGAGGTCAATGAACAGCCGCACTCTGTGTTTATGTAGTGAACTTAGGTTTTAATGATAAAACTCGCTCTATCTTAATGGAGAAGTGAGTCAATCTCATCTTTAAATGCATGAATTTAAAAACACATATACCTGTTTGGTATATTCCTCCTGATTCGACATCAAAAGAAATCCACCATCATCAAGAACAACACAATCCAGGTGCTACCACAAGGAAAAAAAAGTATATTTTTCAGGAAAGATACAGAAAATGGTTCTCTTTCCAAGCAGCCAGACACAATCCCTGAGAAAAGGTTGACGTTCAGCATTTCAGATACATCTTAGAATCAATACGACCAGGACTGGAGTGTCCCTTTTCAAAAGAAATCAGCTTGGCAACAAAGAATCTGCACGTTTAACATAGTTTCCAACTCTCAAGACCTAGAGGTTTCATGTAAAACATTAGTTTTTGGAGAACTTCACACACTCATTATTCCTTTGCTCTAGTAACTTGACCCTATTGTTTCACCCATTAACACCTGAGGAAGGTGTTTTCTGACTTCATACCTGGTATTTAGAAAGTATAAGTAGGGGAGATTATGTTCAGGACTCTAGGACATGAGGCCAATGGCCCTGAATCCATAAGTGTTGTAGAATTTGGAGCAAGGAACCCTCTTGTGGCTTAATTTTATATAACTTGTTCTTGTAAATTATTTGATCAGGATACTTAACTAGCCCTAAGAGTGCTACGTCCTTACAAAACCACTTCATACATGGATCAGAGCTCAGATAAAGGGACTGAAACTTTTGATTTGGTCTTAGCTCACGCTTAGAGACGATTTGATTTGTAGCTTTTAGTGGTAGGAGTCTTTTAAAACAGCAAACCTGGGCTTGCTGCCTATAATTATCTTCACATTATTTACTTTATTTTGCTCTGTTTTTTTTCACCCCCTTCAGGTGATGAACCCCTTCTTCTCCATCTAAGGCACCTGTTCAACATAGAGCTAAGAGCCCACTTTCTCTAGTGCTGTCCCAGTGCCATGGGTGGATTCCTGCAGGTGCCAGGTGCTGGGGGCAGAAAGGCCATTGATTAACTATAGAGCAGCGTTTCTCAAACTGGGGTTTGCAGACCCCTGGGTGTCCCCAAGGGTACTGCGGGGGTCCGCAGGCCCTGCTGATCAACTCCTCCCCCTCTCCCTCAACTTCTCCTCCTCCCTCCAAGTGCCTCCTGCATGCTGGGGAACAGCTGTTCAGCGGTGTGCAGGAGACACTGGGAGGAAGGGGGAGGAGCCAGAAAGAGGTGGGGAAGAGGAGGGGCAAGGGTGGAGTGGCGGTGGGCAGAGGTGAGGTGGGGTGGGGCCTTGGGGGAAGGGGGGGTGGAGTGGGGGCGAGACCTGGGGCTGAGCGGGGCATTTGGGGGTCCTCGGGTTGCTAAAGTTTGAGAACCACTGCTGTGTAGAGCATACACTGATCTTCCTGTGGCCTGAGGATGTGGTGCTGCTGCCTTGGCTTGACAATTAGCCATAGGTCCCACACCCAACAGTCATTCTCCCAACCCCACAAAAGAACTCACAGAGGCCCTGATTGAGGAAGGTGCTTAAGCACAAAAGAGAATTAGGAGTTCCTGACAACATTAGGGCTCCTGAAGCTGTAAAATCATCACCCATCAGTGTTTCTAGGGCCATGTGCCCCCAAATCCTGGCTCAGCAAGGGATGGAGGGAAGAAAGGCAGGGGAAAGCTTAGTATCCCCACATGCTGGAGGGTGCTGTGTGCATTATGGTGGATTTAAGGTTATCATCTGTCTCTTTCCCTCAAATTATTTGATAATACAGAATCCAAACTAGGCAGCAATATTAATATAATATGAATGTGTAACAGCAACAGATCCCGGTCGCCAGGATTGAACCTGAGACCTCTGAAGTTTAGTGCATGAGCCTCTACTGCAGTGGTGGGCCCGCAAGGCTTCTCGCAGCTCCCATTGGCTGGGAACGGTGAACCACGGCCACTGGGAACTGCGGGCGGCTGTTCCTGTGGACAGGCAATGTAAACCCAAACTGTCTTGCGGCCCACCAGTGGATTAACCGTAACGGGCTGCTTGTGGCTCACAGACTGAAGGTTGCCCACCACTGCTCTACTGCAAGAGCTAAAAGCCACATGGCTCTTAGCTAAGGCTGTAGCAGACTCATTAATCTCTAAGTGGTCTTGGTGCCACTAGAGGGGACAGAGCACCACACCCAGGAGGTGTGTTGGTTACACATGCGCAACATAGGCTTCCCTGCCTTCCCGGCCATTAAAACATACAATAAGAAAGAGGAGAAACTAATTATGATCTAATATTCACTAGGTGAAACATTGTGCATCTGTTCTTGCTTTCCACCTTTTCACAGTCTCTCTCCTCAATTTCTCTTATCCCCCCCCTTTTTTGCTCCTTCTCCTTTCTCTTCACCTGTTTCTTTGAAAAGCTTCACCATCTTTTCTCTCACCTTCTTTTTCACGACTGCCCCATTTTCTACTGCTCGCTCCCATATTATGTTCTTTCTTCTTCTTTGTTCCCCTTTAGTTCTTATAGTCTCATTTCAATGATTCCCTTGCCTATCACTTCATTTCATTCTCTCACACTAGCATCTCCCTCAGAATCCTCACCTCTCTCTTCCTAGACACAAAAGATTGTCAACTCTCTGCTAACACTGCTTCTGTTTTTAACCTTCAGAAAGTAATTGGGTAGAACAGCGGTCTCAAGTTTTGATGGACCCAAAGAACAAAGGGGACCCTTCCCTCTCTTCCAGGTCTTTATTATTAGGTTTATTCTTACCATACTCCCTCTTTCACAGCCACAAAGTTCACTGTTGCACTGGAAAACAGAAGGATAATGATCTTTAGGGAATGGTTTCTTAGAAAGTCTGTACTATTACGTGATATTCATTAACTCATAAGTATAAACAGTTGGATTCAAGACAAACCCAGGTGTTTTTTATGTCCATCTTTGTCTGTGTGCCTGGCTGTCTACTAAAGGGTTTTATACTGCTACCCATTACCACGATATCTGAGTGCATTGCACTTGTCTCTGGGGGCTCAAAACTCTGCTCAGGGTAGATTTATTTATTTATAGATTTTATTAATTCCCTCTTTGTTTCTTTTGGTTGGTAATGGTTCTATATATATAAGGGCTGCTGATTAATCACAGTTAACTCACGTGATTAACTCAAAAAAAGTAATCATGATTAATCGCACTGTAAAAACAATAGAATACCAATTGAAATTTATTAAATATTTTTGGATGTTTTTCTACATTTTCAAACATTTTGATTTCTATTACAACACAGAATACAAAGTGTAAAGTGCTCACTTTATATTATTATTTATATTACAAATTTGTACTGTAAAAATGCTAAAAGAAACAGTATTTTTCAATTCACCTCATAAAAGTACTGTAGTGCAATCTCTTTATCGTGAAAGTGTACATACAAATGTAGATTTTTTTGTTACATAACTGTACTGAAAAACAAAACAATGTAAAACTTTAGAGCTACAAGTCCACTCTGTCCTTCCTCTTGTTCAGCCAGTTGCTAAGGCAAACAAGTTTGTTTACATTTAAAGGAGACACTGCTGACTGCTTCTTATTTACAATGTCACCTGAAAGTGAGAACAGGCATTGCAAGGTATTTATGTGCCAGATATGCTAAACATTCCTATGCCCCTTCATGCTTCAGACACCATTCCAGAGGACATGCTTCCATGCTGATGATGCTTGTTAAAAAAAGAATGCATTAATTAAATTTATGACTGAACTCCTTGGGTGAGAATTGTTTGTCTCCTGTTCTGTTTTACCTGCATTTGACCATATATTTCATGTTATAGCAGTCTCAGATGATGACCCAACGCATGTTTGTTTTAAGAACACTTTCACAGCAGATTTGACAAAATGCAAAGAAGGTACCAATGTGAGATTTCTAAAAATAGCTACAGCACTCAACCCAAGGTTTAAGGATCTGAAGTGCCTTCAAAATCTAAGAGGGATGAGGTGTGGAGCATGCTTTCCGAAGTCTTAAAAGAACAATACTCAGATGCGGAAACTACAGAACCCGAACTACAGAAAAAGAAAATCAACCTTCTGCTGGTGACATCTGACTCAGATGCTGAAAATGAACATGCATCGGTCCACTTTGCTTTGGATTCAGAGTAGCAGCTGTGTTAGTCTGTATCCGCAAAAAGAAAAGGAGGACTTGTGGCACCTTAGAGACTAACATATTTATTTGAACATAAGCTTTCGTGAGCTACTTCAGCTGTAGCTCATGAAAACTTATGCTCAATAAATTTGTTAGTCTCTAAGGTGCCACAAGTCCTCCTTTTCTTTTTGCTTTGGATTTTTATCGAGCAGAACCCATTGTCAGCATAGAAGCGTGTCCTCTGGAATGGTAGTTGAAGCATGGAGGAACATATGAATCTTTAGCGCATCTGGCATGTAAATATCTTGAGATGCCGGCTACAACAGTGCCATGCGACCGCCTGCTTTCACAGTCAGGTGACATTGTAGACAAGAAGCGGCAGCATTATCTCTTGCAAATGTAAATGAACTTGTTTGTCTGAGCGATTGGCTAAAGTAGGACTGAGTGGACTTGTAGGCTCTAAAGTTTTACATTGTTTTATTTTAGAATGCAGTTATTTTTTGTACATAATTCTACATTTGTAAATTCAACTTTCATGATAAAGAGATTGCACTACAGTACTTGTATTAGGTGAACTGAAAAGTACTATTTCTTTTGTTTTTTACGGTGCAAATATTTATAATAAAAATAAAGTGAGCACTGTACACTTTGTATTCTGTGTTGTAATTGAAATCAATATATTTGAACATTTAGAAAACATTAAAAATATTAAAATTTGGTATTCTATTATTATTTGGTTATTGTATTCTATTATTGTTTGGTATTCTACTATTGTTATTTATAATATGGTATTCTGTTATTGTTTAACAGCGCGATTAATCATGATTAATTTTTAATCACTTGACAGCCCTTGTGTGTGTATATGCACACACACACACAATACATAATAGAAGGAAAAAAGTGTGTGTGTGTGTCTGAGAGAGAGAGAGAGAGAGAGAGAGAGAGAGAGATGGTGGGCACAGAAGCTACCAAAACTGAAGATTGGTGAACCTCCTTCATCTCTGAACAGAGTTAAAGTGAAAAACTGGTATGTTCCTATGTATTTTTTCCCAGATATATACAAAATACATAGGAACATGCCAGTTTTGTTCTGAGCCCACCGTCTCTCTCTCTCTCACACACACACCCTTTCTTCCTTCTATTGTGTGTTGGGCTACTCTGCTCCCAGACGGCAGTGCAGCCTCTTTTGCATTCACTGACACCCACAAATCCACTTTCTCTCTTTTTCAGGCAAGCAGCTTCCTTCAGCTCATGGTGATGGACATGCAGCTGTTTCTTCAGACTCAGCTTACCAGTAGAGCTGCAGTTCTGACAGGAGTAGCATGCCAGACATGAGTCTGGGTTTCCACCAGCTTTGGCTCATTGAGCCTGTTTCCTCCTCTACTACTTCTTGTCCCTCCACTTCCCTGGTGTGCCAGATCCTTTCTTTACTTTTCCTTCTAGCTGCCACTAATTCTCTCCCCTTCTCATTCAACTCCTTTAAAAATTCCCATTCAACTCCTGCCAGGTGGAAGGGTTCCAGAGCTCGGCCTGAACATCTATGCCACAATTAAACAGCCCTGGAGCCAGAGCTCTGTGATTCTGAGTCAGCTGGCAAGGGCCAGCCACGGGCATCCCTGCTTTTCTGAGAGTTTTGACTCATTGTAAAAACACAATACTGTCTCTAGTGGCTGACATATGACATTGTTGTGCATTTTCTTTTCTTCATTGTTACTATTGAATCTTGAGACATTCTAACCTCCAATGCAAGACATGTACAAGTGCATAACTGAAAAAATACAGCTGCTTTTTAATAGATGCATATTGTGTTTTGAAATGCTTTAAACACCACCATCAGTCAGCAACTGTGGACCTTTGTGAAGTTGCAATACAGAGCTGCCTGCACGGAAGAGGGAAGCACCGGTTTGTGCTCATAGCTTAGAGAAAAAGCAAATGAAGTTCAACAGAAGTCACTCAATTCCTTACCAGGCTCTTGATTGTGGTTTTGGTGAAATTTTCCATCCATTGGTTTGCATCAATTTTTATTCCAACAACTGAAACAAACCAACAAACAAACAAAAAACCCTGGAAATTCTATTTAGCAAAATGAAAGGAAACAACAGCAACAACGAAAGGCAAGATCCTAAAACAGATGAAAAATTCACCATACAAGTCTAACTTTTGAAGCTGATAAACTAAAAGAAATCATATTTCTGATCAGTCATCTGTCCTCCAAGGCCCTTCATCATTCTAATCAACCAAATATCTTTACTAACACACTGTCAGATCTTTGGCTAGACTTTCACCAGCAAAATTTTAAAAAGCCTTGTGAAGAAGAATTTTAGAAGACTGAGACTGCTTTGTGATTTCAGTTATATTTCTTATGGGTGTTCGTGACGAGAAACAACAAAAGAACTTGTGTATTTAGAGCACCAGCACCATTCCATCTTACCTGCGGGTTTAAGAAGTTTTCCACCAATGGTTATTTCCACAGCCTTGCTCACCATAATGCCCGTTTCATAGCTACTGGCGTCACTTTCTGAGAGTAAGGGAAAAAACAATAGGTTAAAAAGAGTGATGTGATCTTTTCCTATTCTTGGCCCTAAATAAAGAAGTCCTACCCCTCAATGCAAGTTCAATCAAGAAATTAACCATTATTTAACTGGTAACCATCATCCCCAAACCCAAATCTCTATATGAAAATGTTATACTTACTAACTGTACTTAATAGTTACCCCAGCTATGCCTAGGATCACGAACAATCAGAACAGTTAGAGGAAAATATATTTTGCTCTTCTTTATTTACTTTGTATAGTTGAGAGCTCTGTGTGTACAGTCAGTTTCACTGTTCTGTGTAGTTAGTGTGACCCTGATTCTGCAAACACAACCGTAATTAATTTTACACATGTGAGCAGCCCCATGAAATGCAGGATTAGGGCCATAGATTGTATGGTCATTAGAACAGAGCCCATGCAGTCTTCTAGTCACTGGACAGTGTGCAGCCCACTAACAACACTCAGTAAATAATGACTGGTACTGTGACAGGCTAACCTGCTGGCAGCACTGTTCAATATGGAAAATGAAGTAAAAAAAAATTCCCGAGAGTTTTCAAAGGAACAGGATTCCTATAAAGGTTTTGAAGCAGGCCATTTTACTACCTGGCTAGTATTTTTTGAAAATTGCAATAATAAATTTGTATATAAAATAATTGCAATAAAATACCACCTCTAAGAGGGAAGAGTATCTAATTCACAGCAGCATCTGCTTTCAGAGGAGCATTACAAGGTTAATGTGCATCAGTGATGCACCTCTTCTCATCAACCAGTTTATTATTGTGGATATTTAGGTTTTAAGTATTACAAAAGGTCACAGAAACCATTTCAGTGGAATAATATTGATCTGTAAAATAATCCAAACTCAATGGTCTGAAGCGTTAAATAAATCAGTGACACTGTCTGGGCTCCATGCAGAAGAAAAGCTCTCAGGACCACACAGTTCTGTGACTGCACTTATCCGAGCTCATTTTGGAAAAAATAAATAGTGTGGTGCTAAAGCAGTCATGAAACTTCAAGCCTTCCTTGCCACCTTGCACCTCCCTTTGGGCCTGGTTACCCCATGGATGGCTAGCTCTGACACTGACGCGATCTAAGGAACTCAGCTATATAAGGTTGCTCTTGGATCCCCTCTCCGATGTCAATATATGGAACTGAGACTCTTGCAGACAGTATGATACACTGTCACTGTAGTTTCCTTCACACAAGAAACTCTGCCTTTGAGAAATCTACAGAAACCTTTTAAGCCCAATTAACTAACAAAATATAGAACCAACATGCATTTTAGCCTGCTAGTCACTGAGAGAAACAATGCAGAGAAACATAGCTTTACTGGGATGGATGACTGATTGTGATGACAGTTTCCAAACCAGAGTGACATTTTTTTAGAGCTGCTTCCCCCAATGAACTGGCAGACTCTGTTGGAATGTCTGTTCTGAACTATGCATTCGATGAAGTGAGCTGTAGCTCATGAAAGCTTATGCTCAAATAAATTTGTTAGTCTCTAAGGTGCCATAAGTACTCCTTTGCTTTTTGCAGATACAGACTAACACGGTTGCTACTCTGAAACCTGTTCTGAACTATGAACTATGCCACTTTAAATAGCTAACTCAACTGGTAAGACGGAAAACATCCATGAATGTTTATGTTGTGCCAGTCACCTCTGAAATGTCAAACTAGTGATGACTTACTGTTGTAGTATGGAGCTGTGAAGATATAGTTGTCATTATCCAAGCTCCGTTTATAGAAACTGACTTCATAAGTTTCAGGATTTTCTGTCCAATCCTCTCCTGCCCTATACATGGGGGGGAAAAGGTCATAAAAAATAAAGTCTGTCAGATTTTCATTTTAAGCTGCAAGGCAGAGGTATTTTTTCTCCCTTAATATAAATGTCTTGTTTGGGAAACTCATGAGCTCCTTTTATTACAATGTATTTGTGCCTATCCTTCACAAAAGTCTGAGCTTTCAGCAACTTAAATTGCAAACTGCTATGAGAAAAACAAAACCAAACAGACCAGAGAATGAAGAAAGGGTTCCTGAGAACAACATGGACCAGGTTCAGAATTTTTATATGAACATTTTTCTGATTATAAATCTATCACTGGGTTTGTTTAAAACAGAAAACCATAGAGTCATTTTGCATGACATCCTTTATTCAAAAATCACAGAAGCAGCTTAACAGACTTAATTAATAAGAGAGGGAGAGAGAAACTGAGAACTACAGGCATGGGAGGCAAATCTATTGGGAAACATACTCCATGAAATTTTTAATGGGTAATATATACAAGATAATCCCAGGAAAAAGATAAATTTGCTATGTAAATTCATATTAATATAATCCCCCCACACACCCAAATCACTGAAGATAAGAATTGCATGATATGGTATGAAATTTGATCACTTTTATGTGTCCTCTATACTATCTGTTAATGTTGCATCATTCCCCTTTACATCCTGGGAGTACTTGTGATTAGTACTTTAGAGTATTCATGATTTTCAAGCTTGTCAGCCAAATGAATGTTGAGCAATTAGGGGTTAAGTGGTCAGATGGTTTTCAGAAGGACATCACTTTACTGCTATACTGTGCTAAGAAGAAGCTTGGATTACTATGACCTGCTCCTGATTAATGCTCAGTAGGAATTCAGTACAGACATGTTTCAAATGCAACATAGCTAAAATCTGCAGCTCAAAGAAAATCAAGGCATGCATATGAGATTTCACGTGTAACAGTGCATATTATTTCAGCAAGAAAAGTTGCTCTCAGATCAGCTGTCCGTCAGTCAGTGCATTGACATACTGACTAAAAGAAAGATCAGCTGACTTTTTTTTTCTTTTATTCACCCAAATTTTGGGCCTCCATTGTGGGCCTAAGTATGTGTGCGAAAGCATTGTGCCCACGTTATTCTCCAGTTTCCACCTGTCTTCCATGGGAGCATATCTCCTTCAGGAACTTTGCTCCTAAACCCATTTGATTCTCGGGAAGCTGCAAACTCAAAACAGGATTCAATTCAATACGGACAGGGTCAGCAGTATCTTACTGCAAGACTGTGGGGGAGGGAAATGCTTCATAAAACAGCACTTCCCTAGCTGTGTCCCCTTCCCCACACGCATGAAACCCCTCCCCCTACGCACACACAAATCAATGGGGACCCAAACACAGTGGGTGTGCCTTGATGGGCAAAATGATGTTTCAATTGTGCTAGCTCAGTTGAGTTAGCTTAACATGATTGAAAAGGCCCATTAAGATGCAGGTTAACACATACAAAGCACTGTTAGCAGGCCATGTTTTAGCCTAGCTGGGAGCCTAGGCTGTAACACAGCCAGATAGCATGGTCAGAGAGAGATAAGGGCTTCCACAGAGTTGCAAGTGTGGGCTGGAGGGAGAGGGAAGGTACGTTATGTCTGCCGACAAAATATGAGCTATTTCAGTGGGTCTTCAGTTGTTTTCATCCCCTTAGTGGAGGGGATGACCTAACCCTATAACTTCATGGCAGAAGACTGAAGATGAATGATAAATGTGAAGATCTCAATGCAGGCAACAACATTTACATGGATAGCAAGAAGAACACAGATTCATATTAACAAACTCTAGTAAATTACTTTTTCTTTGTTCTCTTTGTTATTCTATGATCTACTATGAAAATTATTGCTGGAATTCCATCACCTAATGGATACAACAAGATTATTTCAACTAGGTGTTAACTGTGCTTATATATGAATACAGGCCCATCTTATGAGAAGAAGGTCTCAGTATTTACTTCTAACAACAGTGCCTGGAGAGTAATTTTTAAGCACGAACATTGCAAACAGTGAATTGTGTCATAATCAGTTTGTTGAAAAGAAACAGACAGGGTTTTTTTTTTAAACTTTTCCTACCCTTTCATCTAATGAGGATAAATACAGTACATGCCACCCTCATCATCTTAACTGACTTATGGCCACTTGGGACTTCACAGTTGTTAGATTGTGCTCACCACAGACTGAACAGTGCTGGGACTTGATCTTACAAGATCCCTGTGTTCAGGTGGGCTATTGCAATCGTATGGGGCCCTAATGAATTGGGACTACATATAGGCAAAGAGATCCATTTGGACGGTCAGTTTGTCAGTGAGGAGGTTGGAGGGGGAATCAGAGATTTAGTGAGAAGGTAACTCCATAAGGATAACTTAAAGCAATGTCTCATTTACAATGTAGACAGTGTCTATTTGCTAAGATTACCTCACCTAAAATATACAGGAAGGTGCAACTGAAAGACAACCTACATAGTAGCATTTCTTATTATGTATCCAAAGGGTACAAAATGTATCAGGAGGACAGAACAGGTCATGCTTGTGGGGGAGTGGTAGTATATGTGAAAGAAAGCGTAGAATCAAATAAGTAAAAATCTTAAATTAACCAAACTCTACCACAGAATACCTATGGATAATAATTCCATGTTCTAATAATAAGAATATAGTGATAGGGATATACTACTGACCACCTGACCAGGATGGTGATAGTGACTGTGAAATGCTCAGGGAGATTAGAGGGGATATTAAAATACAAAACTCAATTATAATGGGGGATTTCAACTATCCCCAAACTGACTGGGTACATGTCACCTCAGGACAGGATGCAAAGATAGAGCTTCTTGACACCTTAAATGACTGCTTCTTGGAGCAGCTAGTCCTGGAACCCACAAGAGGAGAGGCAATTTTTGATATAGCCCTAAATGGAGCACAGGATCTGGTCCAAGAGGTGAATATAGTTGTACCTCTTGGTAATAGTGACCGTAATATAATTAAATTTAATATCCCTGTGGTGCGGAAAATACCACAGCAGCCCAACACTGAAGCATTTAATTTCAGAAAGGGGAACTACACAAAAATGAGGAGAAAAATAACTTAAAAGGTACAGCACCAAAAGTGAAATCCCTGCAAGCTGCCTGGAAACTTTTTAAAGACACCATAATAAAGGCTCAACTTAAATGTATATCCCAAATTTAAAAACATAGTAAGAGAACCAAAAAGTGCCACTGTGGCTAAACAACAAAGTAATAGAAGCAGTGAGAGGCAAAAAGACATTCTTTAAAAAGTGGAAGTTAAATCCTAGTGAGGAACATAAAAAGGAGCATAAACTCTAGCAAATGAAGTGTAAAAATAGAATTTGAAGAACAGCTAGCCAAGTCTCAAAAAGTAACAGCAAAAAAGAAGTTTTATGTACATCAGAAGCAGGAAGCCTACTAAAAAAACAGTGGGCCCACTGGACAAATGAGATGCTAAAGGAGCACTCAAGGACGATAAGGTCATTTTTGAGACAATAACTGAATTCTTTGTATCGGTCTTCATGGCTGAGGATGTGAGGGAGATTCCCAAACCTGAACCATTCTTTTTAGGTGACAAATCTGAGGAACTGTCCCAGATTGACGTGTCATTAGAGGAAGTTTTGGAACAAACTGATAAACTAAAGAGTAATAAGTCATCAGGACCAGATGGTATTCACCCCAGAGTTCTGAAGGAACTCAAATGTGAAATTGCAGCTACTAACTGTAGTCTGTAACCTATCATTTAAATCAGCTTCTGTACCAAATGACTGGAGGATAGTTAATGTGACGTCAATTTTTAAAAAGGGCTCCACAGGTGATCCCGGCAATTACAGGTCGGTAAGCCTGACTTCAGTACCAGGCAAACTGGTTGAAACTATAGTAAAGAACAAAACTGTCAGACACATAGATGACCATAATTTGTTGGGGAAGAGTCAACATGGTTTCTGTAGCGGGAAATCATGCCTCACCAATCCACTAGAATTCTTTGAGGGGGATCCAGTGGATATAGCGTATTTAGATTTTCAGAAAGCCTTTGACAAGGTCCCTCACCAAAGGCTCTTAAGCAAAGTAAGCTGCCATGGGATAAAAGGGAAGGTCCTCTCATGGATTCACAACTGTTTAAAAGATAGGAAACAAAGGGTAGCAATAAATGGTCAGTTTTCAGAATGGAGAGAGGTAAATAGTGGTGTCTCCCAGAGGTCTGTACTGGGCCCAGTCCTATTCAACATATTCATAAATGATCTGGAAAAAGAGGCAAGCAGTGAGGTGGCCAAATTTGCAGAAAATACAAAACTACTCAAGATAATTAAGTCCCTGCTGAAGAACTACAAAAGGATCTCTCAAAACTGAATGACTGGGCAACAAAATGGCAGATGAAATTCAGTGTTGATAAATGCAAAGTAATGCACACTGGAAAACATAATCCCAACTATACATATGAAATTATGGGGTCTAAATTAGCTGTTACCACTCAAAAAAGAGATCTTGGAGTCATTGTGGAGAGTTCTCTGAAAACATCCACTCAGTGTGCAGCGGCAGTCCAAAAGTTGAACAGAATGTTGGGAATCATTAAGAAAGGGATTGATAATAAGAGAGAAAATATCATATTGCCTCTATATAAATCCATGGTACACTCACATCTTGAATACTGTGTGCAGATGCGGTCTCAAAAAAGATATACTGGAATTGGAAAAGGTTAAGAAAAGGGCAACAAAAATGATTAGGGATATAGAACTGCTTTCGTATGAGGAAAGATTAATAAGATTGGGACTTTTCAGCTTGAAAAGAGGTGACTAAGGGGGGATATGATTGAGGTCTATAAAATCATGACTGATGTGGAGAAAGTAAATAAGGAAGGTCTCATAACACAAGAACAAAGGGTCACCAAATGAAATTTATAGGCAGCAGGTTTAAAGCAAACAAAAGGAAGTATTTCTTCACACAATGCAGTTAACCAGTGGAACTCTTTGCCAGAGGATGTTGTGAAGGCCAAGACTACAGCAGGGTTCAAAAAAGAACTAGAGAAATTCATGGAGGATTATCCATCAATGGTTATTTGTCAGGATGGGCAAGGATGGAGTCCCTCGCCTCTGTTTGCCAGAAGCTGGGAATGAGTGACAGGGAATGGATCACTTGATGATTATCTGTTCTGCTCATAGCCTCTGGGGCTCCTGGCATTGGCCTCTGTCGGCTAGATGGACCTTTGGCCTGACCCATTGTGACCATTCATGTGTTCTTATATATCCTTGGGGTTACCAAAGGAATTTCAGCTGTATGCATAACATCCATTACTTGGATATTCCATTGATACGGCTTACAGGAATTATTTTCACATTCTGATATTATTTGAAAATAAAATGACGACCCTTACCTTTTAGGGTAAACCCTAGTGATTCCACCATCCGTGACCACAAATTGTGCAACAACTCCATTGCTATGACGAAAAGAAGAAATTTAAATGAAAGCTAATCAGAACTATTACCAACTCCTCCCTCACAATAGCCACCATTTAGGCATAGAATTATGAAAAAAATACACATATTTTCTAATCAACATTAAATACTGAAATATACATATCACACATCTAGTTTTATTTTTGACTTTGATATCTAACCACAAATTTGAATTTACCAGGCCTTGGGTCCTGACATTCATAAACAATTTACAAATACCCCAATGACTACATAGTTAATAAAAAGATATGAAAATGATATGAAAAGATCTGAAAAAAGAACACTCACAGAGATTGCTTACTCCAATAGTTCTGGACTAGTTCATTTGTAAATCCTGCATCCAGCAAAACTCTAATGACCATATCAGCATTACCTAGCAAGAGACAACATGAGTCACCTGAAAACACATGACTTTGAGATCTGTAAATCTGTTAAAGATGAAAGTCTGAATTGCTTGATTCCTGCTACTTATTAATAAAAAAACTGTGATTTTTCAAAATGTTGATTGATGCTGAGAAGAAAATATGCTAATTTAATCAAAACCTTTAAGCTAAAATTTTCAAACTCAAGCGGCTAAAGTTAGGGTTGGTCTCCATTATGGGGAGATCCACACTGCTGAAATTGATGCAGCAGGGATCGATTTAGTGGGTCTAATGAAGACCTGATAAATCAATGGCAGAGTGCTCTCCGGTCAATCCTGGTACTCCAACTCTCCGAGAAGAGTAAGGGAAGTTGACTGGAGAGTATCTCCCATCAACTTAGTGCAGTGAAGACACCGGGGTAAGTCAACTTAACATACACCGACTCCAGCTACATTATTCACATACCTGGAGTAGCATAACTTAGGTCAGCTTCCATAGTGAAGACAAGCCCTTACACTACCAAATCAGAATACAGAAGACAACTTTTTCAAACTTGTCTTTTTAAAATTGGGCACCTACATCTATTTTTAGGCAGCTTACTTGACATGGCCCAAATTTCAGAGGTATGAATGCTCACAGCTTCCACTGAACACCCAGAACTCCCACTGTGGGCAACACCACTGAAAATCAGGTGCCTAAATATTATGGTGTTAAGTTTGAACGGTTAGAGCCACTATTCAGGGTGACCACTGGGGGAACTTAGTAAGGAGGTAAGACTCAATGTAAACAAGAAATAAAGACAATCCTGCATTCACTGTGACCAATGTCCTGGATCTCTGTAATCTCCACATCTATAGCTTTAGGCGGCTTGGGCTAACTTTAGCTTTGCCTACATTACATTCTATAAAGCCACCCAGTCATTTAATGGGGAAAGATTCCAATTTTGTATCAAAGATGGAAGTTAACATACTGTGAAGAGCACATTTTCATTCAAATAGCTGACACCTCATCCTTCTCAGGACATACAATTAAGCCATTTTTGTTTTGTTTTATATCTTCTGCGTAGGAAACTTCTGCAGTACCTTTCCCAGACCCAAAGAAGACCTCTCTGTAGCTTGAAAGCTTGACTCTCTTACCAACAAAACTTGGTTCAATAAAAGACCTACCTTGTCTTGCATTACAAAGAAGAAATACAGTTCAACTACAGTATGAATCTGACAATTAAGACCTTTCTTTATTTTTATTTTTAAAATGCAACAAGCATTTCTTCGTCCCTTCCTGTAAAAACTACAGTGATAATCATGTTTTAAACAATTAGATTAGATGGGCCATGTCTAAGACTATACCTTTGAAAAGCTATTCAGAGGTCAGTGCTTCTCAAGCTTTTCTATTTTGGAGACCACTTTGTAACAGAAAGTTCTTTACAATACCCTAGTGATTTAGGTAAATATTATAGTACCCAATTTTACAGCTTTGTGAAATAAAACAATGGCTGACCCAAAGCCCAATGAAGTAAACAGAAAGACTCTCAGGCCACTCAGTGAGGCAGCAGTTGAATTGGGATTAGAACTAGGGAGTTCTGACTCCCAATTTGAATTGCGGCGAACTCTGTGGTTTCACTGCAGAGGATATCGCAAACTTTTTCTATGATATTGTTTCTTATGCCTTAAGTTTCATTCTTACCTTTGGAGTCAAATGAACTCAGAATGACCTGTCATCAAAACCACCCAAGTTTTTCTGCATTTCACATTGAATCTATTAATTCTCTACTACTCTTATGCAAAATCAAAAATCAGTTTGTGAACCTTTGCAAAAAAGCTTTCAGTAAATCCACTTTAAAATTTGAATTTGTAATGATCCTTACTACAAACATGTCACACAATCAACTCCTAGGCCAGGCTCTAACCAGTAGATAGCACTGCTTCAATCCAATTTTAACAAATTACTTTAATTCTAATTAGACCATATTTACATTATCCTGCTAAAGCCAGCCTGTTTCGTTGCAATCCTGCACAACCTTATTCACGTAAGGGCTCCAATTATTTGGGACTCACAGAATTAAATTTACAGAGGTGATTGTTTGCAGAATCAGGGATGGTAAGATTCGAGTCCTTTGGACAGAGCCATACTAAGGTACATAACCAGGACAGGGTACTTGTTTAAAAGTAACCTGTCCAGCTAAAAATAATGAGAACAGATCAGGGACTGTGCTGAATATGACCAGGGCTAGTTCCTGCAGCCCATACTTGGTCCAAATTTCTACTGAAGTCAAATGGGAGTTCTAAATATGACCGATCTGTCCCTAAATGTTTAGCTATAAAAAGTAATGAAAATTAAAGCTATATCCTACATATGAATTAGATAACCTTATAGATGGTATTAGTTATTCCCTTTTAAAGACAATTTTTTGTTAAGGATAATCTCCAAGAAGGATTATTACACATTACTTTAGTCAACACTATTATCTTAATCATTCAGGAGAGTACTTGTTTAAGTTACAGTTATGAAAAAAATAAAACAATTAGGAAAATAAATTCAAATATCATTGTGATTTCAAATCTGAGAGGTGGCAGTAATTTGACAATGTGCTGTATGGTTTAATTACTCTCTAAGCCCTCGTGTGTACCATGCTGATACTAATGTGTCCTCAATACTTGATTATAAACTAATGTAGGCTATTAGCTTAGAGTTTTCATTTATTAAAATTTCTTTCTGGGTTAAGTCATTTGAGATGAATAATCTCATTTCTAAGACTGACTCAGGGGACACACTCAAAGTTACAGTCATACATTATACAGCCATAATACAGCATCTGATAAGACAAATGTGTGGACAATTAAGAAAATAAATTAGCCTTAAAGACAGTTACATTGTGAGAGGATTTCATATCTTGTTTCAGATTATTCCAGCTAGGTGGTCTAACAAAGTAAAGACATTTTTACTGCAGTTCCCTTTGGATGAAAACGACCCCATGGTAATGCTTAGAATCTGACATCTCATCGGCTTTCATGATAATTGATCCCATATCGTGACAGATCGCAAGAGGTATATTTTTCTCTCCATGTCTCTTTAAAACCTCTAGCAGTGCTAACAGGAGGTAAGTACTCAAATAAATGAATGTAGCCATTAAAATCTTCTGTGAAATTTTCTTGAAAAGTAATGTTTCACTGATGTCTTTAATAACATAAATATACAGTGGACACATTTAATAAGTTAATTCCATTTTCAGAACTATTATCATTTCCAAGAATATTTCTATATTTACAATGGGGAATACCACTGGTAACACATCCCAAACTGGAACGAACTACTTAAAGTGCACCTATTGTAAGATTAAGCTTCTTATACTAAAGTATTGTTCATTCCACTCTGAAAAATCAGAATGTAAAAATGACATGCTTTTACTATTCAGAGATCTGTTTCCTTTTTATATTCAGAGTAACATCTGTGAAAAAGCAACTTTTGTGCATTTACTGACAAACAAATGTTTTTCCTGCTTTCCCAGTTGAACAAACAAAGCTAAGGCTGAGATCTGAATTCTATTCCATCTTGTGCATCTAGACATTATTATTTTTTGTATTAAACTCCAGTCAGTCAGCAAACCCACTGAAGGCAATGTTTTTGCATGGGTGAAACTTAGTGCATGCCTTGAAAACAAAAGGATTTCCCAGGTATAACCCTAATTTGGCATACAGGATCTTTATTATTGGTGGTTATGCATGAGCTGGAAAGAATCAAGTTTGACTTCAAAAGTCCAGCTGAATTTGCAGAGGTGACAAAAAGAAAAATGTCTTTTTTACTTGTGAACTGACATAGTTGATATTGACAGACAATAAACATGGGACCAGGCAATGCCATTTGTACTTTCCAAAGAAGAACTGCACTTAGGCCTAATCCAGAAATACACATAAGCATGACAGTAGTCTACCTTGACTATCAGAACTACACATCATTTAAGTTAAGCACATTCTTGTGGGGTTTGCTGGATCAGGGCCTTAAAGAAGAACACAGAGTAAAAAATATTCATTCTATGATCGAACCTTCCTCTGTGTTTTCCAGCATGTTTGGTCTATTAAGCATGTAAGCTTCTCTGTCCTTGTATAGTATCAAGCACACAGCTGGCGCTTAACAAATAGTAAATAATAAATTATAATGGTAGATTAGATTAACCCAAGGAAAATGCTTAACAGACATTAACTAAAGGAACCCCATTTTGTAGGCAGCTAAGTTTAAACAGAGGCACAATCCTGCACCACTGAAATCCGTGGAACATTTGTTGCCGACTCCATTGACAACAGGATCAGGTCTGCAGTGATTTGCCCAGTGGAAGTGACAGCAAGCCAATGGAAGGGTCAATCACAGAACCTAGGAGCCCATGCCCTATCCTCTAATCAGTAGCCAATTTAATGTCAACTATTTTGCCTCCATGTAGAAAGTAACTGAGCAACCTCAATCCTATACAGTTAGGACTAGACTTTGATTGGCTCTTTATGGGAGAACTAGAGTGGAGAAGAGAAATAGAAAGCCCCTTCCTCCGCCCCAGTGAATTTACAAAGGAGGCATCCAAAACTGGTGTTCATAGTGTTGGGGTCACATCAGAGTCAAGGCCAGCCAGTGCTGCCAGAAGTGATCAAAGCCCTGGAGGTGGATTATTCGTGTAGGAGTGTGGCTAAGACTCCATCATCTTCCTCCCAGCATACTGGCAGTCACGAGCACGGCTGCACCATGGGGAGTGTAGGCTGCATTTTTTTTTAAAACACATGCAGTATATGCCTCTGCTCAGTGTGTTCTCTCCAGGGATCGGGATCATACGGCTTAAATGTATGTTATGCCTCCACCCACAGCGCTCAAGTGCTGGAGGTGCTGTTCTCCACTTCCTGTGCTTGTGCTTCCCTGGTTCACAAAAATCAAAGATTTAACGTCTTTGTAGCCAAATGACAATATGCTGCACTGACACAAGGAGAGGTATCTGAGAGAATTTTGACCAATGACAAAGGACACTGCACTCAAATTTTGGTTCGTTTGTTTTGTTTTTCTCTAAGGGTGGCTATGTGTGATGATGCACCAGGCATTAGGGACAGTGGGTGAGGCTGGTATTGTAAAAACCCAGTACGAAGAGATTGCAAGGTAGAAGGATTAATGTTGAATGAGGGGATGTAGGTGGCAGAATATAACCAAGCAGAGCCCCTTATGAGAGGCCTCAGTGTAGATGAGCAATTGCTCAATGCTGCCTTCTAGGTTCTCTCTGAATGACCTCCACCACACATTGTCTGGCTTGCTGGAAAACCTGTGTTCCCCTTTAAGAGCCAGGAAGTGATTTCCGCTGCAGCTCCAGACCAGATCAGCATGGGAAACACTGACCTATTCCCCGTCAGGTGACAGGAAGAGAGTGGGGACTATATAGGTCCATGCCGGTGCAGGAAAAGCCTTTTGTTACCTGGACCTGGCAGAGCAGCACCCACCTCCTGCCCAGGGAAGTGGTAAAATTCTGGGTTTTATCAGGATCCACTGTAGGCATTGCGCTATTTGCTCCTTTCGCGTGGGACTGGGAAGGAATTTTCCCCTCACTGCCAGACTAGCCAAGGCGCAGTTGGTTTTTTCCACCTTCCCCACAATGAGTTCAAGGCGGGAGGGGAGAGGGGGGAGTTAGCTGGGACAAACATGAAACGAGAGTTTGGCCATGATGTCGCTACTCATGTAAACATGGGGCAGGTGTCCAGTGTAGGTAATCCGTAAGGAATGCATGCAGGGATCAGATAAAATGGATTGATAAAGGATTTAAAGGAAGTATTCTTTAAAGGAGAGGAAACTGGGGGGAGTAGTTTGGGGCTCCTATGACTGGTACAGCCAGGAGCCAGCCCCCATCCTTTATAGCCCCCTCTTAACCCTTGTTCAAGAGGGGATGGATGGTGAGGTCCCAGCAGAGGGTTGGCTGGGGATGGGCTGAGAGAAGCCCCCAGGCATATAGCGAAAGGATCTTGGAATTACCTGCACTGTATACTTATGTGCTGGGTACTCCCAAACATTTAAGAATAAAATTCCTAATTAGACCACACCCATTATCTCCTGTCCTTCTTCCAGCATAGCTGGACAAAGAAAGGATTGGAGCAACTCAAGAGAGACGCCATATGCTCTTGGATCCATCAGAAGGTTTGTCAATGGCACCAAAAACAGCGGATGGGTCTTAATGAATATCACAGACACCTGATATACGTTCATCCGCAGGCAGACAGCATTAAACAACATAATCAGTGTATTCTCGCCATTCTCTGATGAGGCAAGAAAAAAACATAGTGGCGGTGTCAAGTAAACCCGAGGACTCCAGCTGCTGCCAGACCCATTCTGCCCCACCTTTCTGAGCAACTTTCCCTAGCAGAAGAAGATTTGCATTCGGGTGAGAATTGGAGAGATCATCCATGTCATGGGATGGTTTCTTGAGCTAGGATTAACAACTTGCCATCCTATGTCTTATCTATTTTACAAAAATACTGCATGTTCCATTTGTAAGCACCCTTTTTATGAACAAGTGTTGGAAATTAATTTAGTAATCACAAAAAATGGCCCTCTTAAATGTACAGTGAAAAGTCCTTTGCAGAGAAGCAGATGCACTGGTTCCAGTACCCAGACTTTAAACTTCAATGGAATCCATGCACACGAAGGGTAATTATAAAGCAACACTGCAAAAGGAATACATCTTTGCAGTGAATAGGAATTGTTAGTATCTCTTTAAATAGTCGGTGAGCCCTTTAGTGGACCTCCCTGTCTTCTGCTGTAGAAGCCACCAGACCCTAACAATAATTGTGTCTTTACTCTCTATACAACATTCAGGATAGGAAGAATACACACAGACAAAGCTGGGTTCCAAGTAACCATGTTTACTAACGATAGCAAGCATAGAATGCTTAGCGTTCGCTAGCACACCGGCTCTGTTAGTTTCTGGTGTCTTCTGCAATAGAAGGCCCACTAGAGGGCTCACAAACTATTTGAAGGGATATGCTACAATCTTCAGAACAGATCTATCTGAAAGGCCTTTATACCCTTAGACCGGGGTTGAAACGGACTGTGGAAGTCAGTAAATATTAGATAGATCCATGAGGGAAGTTTGTAAGTTATTGAATACATTTTGCTTTATATTATTTAGGGAGATTTCTCGATGGTCACAGCAATCTGCAAAACAATCTTACAAGCGCTCTCTTGGACATAAATAAAACCTCTGATAAGTTCAATGCTCTGGCCTGTATGTAATTCCATTAAGCAAATAAACACAGAAAAAATCTTAAAACACTGGCATAGTGAAAGCTATCGTCTTGCAGCAGTTTTCATATTTTTATATCTCCCTGTGAAAATAATTTTAGTGACTGGAATAGAATACTTACATGAAGGGCTGTTTGGGGTATTTCGATCAATAAACTCATTGAAATTTAAAAGAAATTCAGTGTTGTTGTCTGATACTTTTACATCATTACAGTATTCTCTGAAAAACAACAAAACATCAGCCTTGTTAGATTTGTTTCAGATGCGACTGGGGCCGATAAGAAGTGGCTCGCATTTCCTGGAAGCCAGGCAGAGCTTTGCAGGCCCTCAGATCAGTGCTAGTGTATTATAACAGACAATGGAACAGGATTCTGCAAAATTCCGTTGACCCTCTTTGCAGAATTCAATAGGAAGAGGCGAGTTTCCTAGCCATCTTCTAAAGTGCTTTAAGTGACCCAGCCAAGGGAGCAACCTAAATTATTGGTTAAGTAGAGGCAATCTTTAGCCAAAATATACTGGAAATCTTATTGTTTATATGACCTCTTAAGATTGGAGGTCCTTGACTGGAGATTGTACACTGTTAAAACTGAATTAGAGACTAACTACTCCCTCCCCCCAACAAAATCCACATGGGTAAAGTGGGTTTATTTATACAAATTTGGTATGACCACATACCTTGTGATATTCTCTGAAGCAGAGCCATAAGTAATATGCTAAAAATCAGTGTGCACTTCAAGGGGAAATATTAGCTAGCAACTGGGATTAAATGCATTAATTTCAAATTAAAATATGCACTACATTTTCTATAGTAGAGTAAATGATAAAGAGAAGATAGGTGTTGAAAAATTACCAGTGGTATAGGGAAGTAGCTCATTTTCAAAATACATTTTTATGCTATGCAAAGGGAAAAGTTGGGTCAAACATTTCTTTAGAAAGAACCCACCTTCCTGCCATTCACTTATTACACCATGGACTAAGAATAACTCAGGCAGAATTTAGACCCCAGTCCTACAGTCAGCAATTCAACGGGGCTCTGTGCCTGGTTCTGTGCCCACATAGATCAGTTGCAGGATCAAGTATCCTTTATCAATGCTACAATCCATTATCAATGCCTCCAACCCTCCAAGAAAATTAAATGCTTCTGATCGGTTTTAGATTGCTTTGAGTTTGGGGGTGGGGGAGGGGCACCAACAAAAAACCCACAACTACTTGCTTTACATGTGATTTCTTTCAGAATACATATATAGTGGGCTAAAAAATCTTGAGCTTTTTGAGCTAGAATGAGTTTGAATCATTCTAGACTGATTGTGTATAGATAATTTCTCCATTGTTTATCACCACTGTCATTTTAAGATACTCTTGCTTTAGTCAGTCTTTATATGTAGCATTTATACTAATATGTTTCAGTTGCACAAATGCAATGGACTAGGAAAGCAGAATTCCTTGGGAAAACCCAGGAAACTAATGCCCTTACTGGATCAGATTCATCCCTGTTGTAACTCCACTGAAGTCAATGGAGTTACACACAATAATTGTTATTGTAGCTCTTATGGAAATACTCTTTATCCTTAAACCTCAAAAGAGATAAGTATTATTATACCAATTTTACAGGTGGGGAACCTGAGGTATGGATAGGTTAAACCAGCTTGTCAAATATCATCTGGACCCAGGAATAGAATTAAGAACTCCTGAGTCCCAACACTGTATTCACTAGACCACATTACCTTTCAATAAATAAATAAATGAGGCTTTGTCTGAGGTAGCTATTTTTTTAATTTTATCCTTCCAAATATTATAACACTGCAGAGTATGGAGTGCTCTATGATAAACTGTTAGATGAAGTAGCCTAAGAAGGTGTTATCCATATTCTTCCAATAAAAATGTTATCTAAACTTGGAAATCTTAGTTCAACCATTGCTCTTCTACTTAACTATTTCCCCCAGCACATTTCTTGTGCAAAATTAAGTTTTATTGGGCAAGTCAATGCTTTATAAATGTAACTAACCTGATCAAGACTTCTTATTTACTGCTGTTTTTAATGCTTAGAACTGGGAAATTGACCAACCTTGGTGCTATAAAGGTATAGCCAGCTTCATCAAAGTGATCAATCTTTAGAGTTTCTGAATCTACAAAGATGAAGGTTGAATATCAGATAAATAAACAGGATTTTGTAAAACTTCTTGGATAATTTCTGCATGCATCTGTGGATTTTAAAAAATGCGATCTACAAAGAACATTTTTCTAACTAATGTACTATACTATCATCAGTAGTCCACATTGTAGGAAGAAATGATCCGATTATTATACAGCAATACACCAAGCAATAACAGAACAACTGAAGCAAGTTAAGTCTGAGTCATTGTTTCATTATCATGACAATATGATAATCCAAAGTATATGTGACATATCCATTAGCATTGCAATGTGATAATTCAAAATACCCAGGATATTTAGGATTGAGAACATCAAGAAAAACATTTATCTCTAATATTTTCATCAATAAAGTTATAAAGCATCACTTTTAGAATAAACCCCTTTCAATGTTATTGAAAAGAGTGGTCTTAAAAAAAGTAATGATATATCTGAGCATCAGCATGAACCAACAGGTGATAGGATCAGACATACAGGGATTGGAGATTAGCAACAAATTGAAATGTGCATGAAAACACAAAAGCATTTGAGAGATTCCCTCCGCCCCGGCTTTTGCTATGGTACCCAGTGGTCATGGGAGAAGTCCAGAAATGAAGAATACAAAGGAGAACATCCAGTAGGAATAGAAATATAAGTGGAAAATATCAACTGCAGTAAACAGAAGGAAATTGAGAAACAAGAATATACTTGCCCTCTTTGACTGTGAAAATCCATCAGAAAGAGAAAGCAGGGAAACAGAAAAAAACAGGGTAAAGCAAAAGGGGTCACAAACCAATATTTTATTCAACCACCCCTTGAATAAAAATATTGTGAGTAGATCATAGGTTCAATTTATGTACAGCTGTAGTCTGGGAAAAAGACAAACATCTTTGAAGACTGGAGTGTATGTCCTTGTCTATTATTTCTGAGGTAACCTCTATATACTGTGGCTATTTCAAGGGTCTATTTTGCGGGGTATATTGATGCCGCTCCGACATCAGTAGATCTAGTCCATAAACAGAACCATTTTTTACACTCATTAAAACTTTAATCACTAGTCCCTATTTGATAAAGTTAAGAAATAAATCATACAAAATGACTGGTTGGTAAAAGCTTATCATGTTGTTGTCTCCTACCCAGCATATGGTGATAGATGACATGGTTGTCAATGAAACCACTTCTAACCACGTCTTCTCTGAGCTAACAGGAGCTATGACTGACAAGGAGACTTGTAACAAGAGTGGAAAATGTTTTGTCCTTGTAAGTAAGTTTTTGCATACATATATTTCTAAATGCAAAAATGGAATTCATTCAGGTTTGGATTAACACTTGGATAAAGTTAAAAGGATATGATGGCTCATGCTTCATTTACTGGCTCAACTATGGTCAAACAAAGTAAACAAAACTTTAATGCTGGAAATATATCATACATATTATTTCCAGTCAGTTTTCTAGAATCTGGAAGTGGCTTGAAATGAGTGCCATCCAAATAAGATTCTATAGACGTCCACTGAAACTATTTACAAAGTGCAACATAAAAGCTTAACTATAAGCCAAAACTAAATAGCCCCTAATCTTACTTTATTTATAAGAGCAGCATGAGAAATTGCTATATACAGCACTGTAATTACTGCAAACTATGAAAAGACGCTTTAGCCAATATATTAATTTTTAACAGGTGGAATATTTAAATGTCAGCTAGCAGACCCTTAAAACAACACCAACAGAGGATACACAAAGCAATGATTCTATAGGTACATAGCAAAAGGGAAGGAGCTGTAAGTGAAGTTGGGGTACCTGCACATATTCTAGCTATGTAGAATATTTCTTGTACCTTGAATGTTTACAATGGGTTAGAATCATTGCTGTAGATTTTGGGTACATTATGATAACATTAGGGAACTCCACAAACTTTATGAATTTCAAAATTAAATTTTTAAAACGCCTGTGTGTCAGAAGTAGGTCAGAACCCAGAGAACCTTCCAAGTACTTACATCTGGCCTGAGTTATTGGTTCTTCTATTTTGGCTTTAATGTAGTAAAAGCTGTAGGATGGTAATACCAAGGCCAAACTGCAACAGAAATAACAAAGGCATAAACAAAGAAATAAAGACACATTTAGCTCACTGGAGAAAACTTAGAAGTTTTAAAGCAGTTTTCTCAAGTCAGCTTTGATGTGTCTTTGAAAACAATTAACAAGTTGGGGATGAAAATTATTGTGAGATGAGATGATTTGATTATTATATGCAGTCCCACACTGCCATAGTGCTAACTTTAGGCATCTCAGTGGGGTTGAAATTAACTACATGTAAAAGGAGCATAAAGTAAAGTGGGAGGTATTCCAGGATCTGCACCCACCATAAAATTCATAGGCCAGTCACAATTTTTATGGATATACCACTGAAAGTTCTGCTTAAAGAACAGCTGAAAAAAATCACAAATAATTCTGAACTGCTATGAAAAGAGTATGATAATGACCGAGTTCCCTTTTAGAATAAAACAGCTACTGATATTTAATGCAAAAACGTGTAGTACTTGAATTTACATTATCTCTAAGAGACAGAATATCTTCTTAAAGTAATGCAGTCACTTTTGGACAAAATAATTCTTTGAACTGTACTTTATAAGAGTGCCCTAAGATGTACAATATATTTCATAATGCACCTCCTTTGATTTCAATATTCATTGTTGTTTAGAAATGATTCTGTCTTTTGGTTTTGCCACTAAAAATCAATACATGCACCTGAGAACAGAATTTTTAAAAAAGGATGTTAAAGGCAACGGGTATAAATCCCCATCAGAGACGTATCTACTTCATCACACATCCCTAATGTTTGCACTCAATTTTCATTAACATAAAAGTGCATTTTACCACTGGTTTCTAATGGATGGCTGCAGAAATTAACATTAAAACAAGTTGTACAACTGGGCTATAAGCAAGATGACCTTTAATAATGCATTTGCCATTTAAACATCACAGAAGTGAGATTGCTGATTATTTAGTGATAGCCTTCTACCAATTCCCCTTGAGGGAAATCAGGAGAGGTTTACCTGTCATTAACAGTTATTGCTAACAGAAACTACTAATTAAAATCTATAATTTTATGTTTAATGGGACTGCTGCAATGTGAACCCAGGAGATTAACTGCTTTCTCTCAGCCTATGAAAAACAACTATGAGAGGAATTTGGTAAGAACTGAGAACTCATATAAATCAAATACACGTGTACTGCATACTAGATAGCATGATAGGATGAAAAATACCTTGCTTTCCTTCAGAAAATAAAAATGGGGGTAATAACAGAAAAACAAGGTTCTGAATTGCATAGATCAAGCCAGCTCTTTGTTTTAATTCACAACAACTAGGTTTAGGGGGTTGGTATTTTTTTTCTGTTTTGTAAAATATTTTGGTCACAGACTGTCATTCACTCTATACTTGTACAGTGCCTACTACCCCAACTTGGTTGATGTCTCTAGACAGCATAGTAATGCAAATATTCTTATTTTGGGTAAAACTCCTAATATTACATATTTTTGTTAAAATAAAATAATCCTTTCAATGTTGTTTCAAGTTTCACACTATGCACTGACAGTGATTCTGCTTTGTGACAATTTGTTCAGTCCTGAAAGGTACGGAGTGCCCTAACTTGGATATTCAGAACTTCATAGAATTTGGGCCCAATGTTGGTAATCTTAAGAAATATTCAGCTTTTAAACTAAAGTATGATAACTTTCTTGGACCAACTGCAGCCCAAATACTTTTAAGAAGTGGATGTCAAGATGTCGCATCCCTTCCAGTGTCACAGCGATGTGTAGCTATAGTGTCTCAAATCGTGCATTTCAGGACAATTGTGAGAGTGAGATACACCTTTTTCAAAAAGTGTTATTTTTCTCTGCTGTTATCTATGGCCCTATGATTTTATATAAAAAATAATGTAATTGTTATTTAACATTTGTATATGGCATCTTAAATGCAACTGCTCACTAGAGTGATAATGCCATAGTACTTGCCTGCCAAAATCTGACACGGTAGTTTAGGTATGACACGACAAAACAAATAATGAATATAAGACTGAGAAGGAGGTTTACAAAAAATAAGGTTGCGATATTGCTTGTTTTGTAAAGGCATGAAACATTAGCTCTTCCTTTTTTATTTTATTTTTTAAATTTTACTTGCAAAGGCCAGTGTGGGAATGGAAATTATTGTTGGAGAGACTGCAAGAAAAGGTGGGATTAGAGGAGGATCTGAGGGAGAGGACCACAACCAAAGACACAATTACAAATCAAACACTACAATGATTTTAAGAGTCCTGCAGATTTTATGAGATCCCTGGAAAGATAAGGTCCACTTAAAATTGATACCATGAATCACACAATCTTCTTAGTAAGTATGTGGAAACTTTGCTAGTAGGAAAGTTGTTTAGAAAGCTCCACAAAAGATTGAAGGCTTGACTCTGTATACTTCTTTAACAAAACAGTCATGGGCAATGGGAGTTTTTTTTTTTTTTAAAAGGCCTGCAGGACTGGGCCCTATGCCATTAGGTGGTGAGCAGAGGGAAATCCTCAAGGAAGATGAACTGCACCAATGTTTGTCTCTCCATTCTTTTGGGCAGAGAGAGTCAGTTCCTAGTCTTTTTAGTGTTATATCTAATAAGAATAAAATTATTCATCAAAACAAACGAACCAACCAACACTTTCCATTAAAAAAACAGATTAATTACCTGTAATCTGTGCCATTCACAGCAGTCCATGTATACGTTCTGTTTCCTTTGTCAATATATCTCTGGAAAGCAATTTTGATAAACAAGTATATCACTGCCCCTGGAGGCTCAGTAAATACTAGGTTTGGCTTTATTATTGAGGTGAAAGGAATGTAAAACTCAATAACAAACAAGCTGTTGGAATTCTTTTGCTCCTTTCCTTAAAATGTGACCTGCTTTGCAATTGCATTTCTTCAACAATTTCCAGATTTAGAACAGATGTTACAGAGTCATCTGCATTCTTTAAATCTAATAAAGAATTTTAGAAGTGCTGTGTCAAGTATAGTGAGCCATAAATTTGGCCTGTCCATTTACCCTTTGTGTCTGCTTGTCAGATTACTTATTTTTCTTGTTTATTATTTATTTTAAATACAGGAAAGAGTCTTCCCCCGTAGGAATGGCCCAGTGATCTTGTATCTAAACAAAAAACTAGTGACAGCAGCAAAGCACTTATAAGCAACCCTATAATAACAAACCACTATGCCTGTACATACTTACATATACTAATGTCTGTGTCCGTGGAACATTATTTATCCCTGTATATACACTCTATGGCTCTGGTCTTACACCCACTTATGTATTTGCCCTTTAAAGTGAATAGGACAACTCATCTGTGTAAAGTTAAGCATGAGCATGAGCGCTTTCCTGAAGTATGAGATTAGTTAGCTTTTCAATTCACTTGCTTCTGGAATGAAAGATGGCACAACAGACAAGTTTAAAAGGTCCCCTGACTTCCCGTAGAAGATTTAATCATCATTAATGCACCCCGCTGGAGCAGTTTTACTCATTTTTCCACATTAAAAATTATAAGTATATGCCAGCTGTAGCATATTGCTGCTTTATAGTCAGAGACAAAGATTTATGAGGATGTCTGCAATAAAATCTGTGCAGCTGCTACATCACAACATTACTAATACTGTTCAAATGTGCTACAGTAGATGTTATTTCTGTCCCTGTGCAAAAATAAAAACACAAAAATTAACATGATTATGAAAAAAATGTGGTTTTGGTTCTATTCTGACGTTTATAAATTGAATAACTCTCTTCTCTTGTTATTTTTCAGCACAGCAGGGCAGGTGTAAACAATCTAAGAGCTATTTTGCCACAAAGAAGATGCTTGGAATAATGTGCAATGCTTTGAGATATTTTTGACTTAAGACTTATAGATAGGTGAACTTATTCAGCACAGATCTTACCCATGTTTATTGACCTAGTACTATTGATTGTCACACTGCCCACCCACTAAAAAAAAAGCAGTAAACGCACCTTATCTTTCTATTGCATTTGTGACTTCATGACAGATTAAGGACACAAGGAATTTTCCTATGCCAAGATAACTATGAGTATGTAAGATTCTCACCATGTCCCTTGGAGAATGGGTAATGGAAATCATTCATTACTGGGTCTCTAGCTGTTACCTGGCCAAGGTCAGTAGTACTTCCAAGTCACTGTCATATAAGGGCTGTTCAATGAACTGTGTAAAATGAATTGGTCGTTTCAGTCTATTTTCTAGTGGAAAGTTGTCCAGATCATAAAAGTCACTATTATATACATTTGGCATCATGTGGGCTCCTTTGTTCAGGATATCAGCAGATAGCCAAGGATTAATTGGGCATGGAAACTGAACAACTTTCAACTACTTGAAGGGGGGTTCCAAAGAGGATGAAGCTAGGCTATTCTCAGTGGTGGCAGATAATAGAACAAGGACCATGGTCTCAAGTTGCAGTGGGGGAGGTCTAGGTTGGATATTAGGAAAAACTATTTCACAAGGAGGGTGGTGAAGCACTGGAATGGGTTACCTAGGGAGGTGGTAGAATTTCCATCCTTAGAGGTTTTTAAGGCCTGGCTTGACAAAGCCCTGGCTGGAATGATTTAGTTGGGGTTGGTCCTGCTATTAGCAGGAGGTTGGACCAGATGACCTCCTGAAGTCTCTTCCAACTCTAATGTTCTATGATTCCCCCTAGAAGTGAGCCATACAGGCTAGTATTCTGGCATATTGACAGAATAGTGGTAGATACGCTGGAGGGGAGGGATAGGATACAGAAGGACCTAGACAAATTGGAGGATTGGGCCAAAAGAAATCTGATGAGGTTCAATAAGGATAAGTGCAGGGTCCTGCACTTAGGACGGAAGAACCCAATGCACAGCTACAGACTAGGGACCGAATGACTAGGCAGCAGTTCTGCGAAAAAGGACCTAGGGGTGACAGTGGACGAGAAGCTGGATATGAGTCAGCAGTGTGCCCTTGTTGCCAAGAAGGCCAATGGCATTTTGGGATGTATAAGTAGGGGCATAGCGAGCAGATCGAGGGACGTGATCGTTCCCCTCTATTCGACATTTGTGAGGCCTCATCTGGAGTACTGTGTCCAGTTTTGGGCCCCACACTACAAGAAGGATGTGGATAAATTGGAGAGAGTCCAGCGAAGGGCAACAAAAATAATTAGGGGTCTGGAACACATGAGTTATGAGGAGAGGCTGAGGGAGCTGGGATTGTTTAGCCTGCAGAAGAGAAGAATGAGGGGGGATTTGATAGCTGCTTTCAACTACCTGAAAGGGGGTTCCAAAGAGGATGGCTCTAGACTGTTCTCAATGGTATCAGATGACAGAACGAGGAGTAATGGTCTCAAGCTGCAGTGGGGGAGGTTTAGATTGGATATTAGGAAAAACTTTTTCACTAAGAGGGTGGTGAAACACTGGAATGCGTTACCTAGGAAGGTGGTAGAATCTCCTTCCTTAGAGGTTTTTAAGGTCAGGCTTGACAAAGCCCTGGCTGGGATGATTTAACTGGGAATTGGTCCTGCTTTGAGCAGGGGGGTTGGACTAGATGACCTTCTGGGGTCCCTTCCAACCCTTATATTCTATGATTCTATGATTCTATGACAGAACAGTGTAGGAGAGTTTGCATTGCAGCTATGCACACTGCATATGTTCTGAAAATAAATAGAGGACTTCCATTTCCAGGGATATAAATCCAGTATATTATGAAATGTAGGGTGGGAAAGAACCTCATGAGGTTCTGCCGACTTGAATACATTTATCTTAAAATTCTTTAACTTGTTCTTTCCCTATTTTGGCTTGCATTCCTTCCCCCTTGTTGCTAATATTATTTGTCTTAAGTATCTGTTCACAATTTATCTTTTTCGTAAAGATTGAAACTAAACAGACATTGCAAAAAGAAAAGGAGTACTTGTGGCACCTTAGAGACTAACCAATTTATTTGAGCATGAGCTTTTGTGAGCTACAGCTCACTTCATTGGATGCATACCGTGGAATGCATCCGATGAAGTGAGCTGTAGCTCACGAAAGCTCATGCTCAAATAAATTGGTTAGTCTCTAAGGTGCCACAAGTACTCCTTTTCTTTTTGCAAAGACAGACAAACACGGCTGTTACTCTGAAACCTGTCATTAAACAGACATTAAACACCTCAGCCTTCTTGATGTCATCCACTATTAGCTCTCCTTCTCCACTAAGTAGAAGTCAGGCACTTTCCTTCACCATTCTCTTGCTCCTCGTTTTTAAAGGATGTTGTCAAGGTTCCTCCCCCACTCTGAACTCTAGGGTACAGATGTGGGGACCTGCATGAAAAACCTCCTAAGCTTATCTTTACCAGCTTAGGTCAAAACTTCCCCAAGGTACAAAATATTACACCCGTTATCCTTGGACTGGCCGCTACCACCACCAAACTAATACTGGTTACTGGGAAGAGCTGTTTGGACGCGTCTTTCCCCCCAAAATACTTCCCAAAACCTTGCACCCCACTTCCTGGACAAGGTTTGGTAAAAAGCCTCACCAATTTGCCTAGGTGACTACAGACCCAGACCCTTGGATCTTAAGAACAATGAACAATCCTCCCAACACTTGCACCCCCCCTTTCCTGGGAAATGTTGGATAAAAAGCCTCACCAATTTGCATAGGTGACCACAGACCCAAACCCTTGGATCTGAGAACAATGAAAAAGCATTCAGTTTTTTACAAGAAGACTTTTAATAAAAAATAGAAGTAAATAGAAATAAAGAAATCCCCCCTGTAAAATCAGGATGGTAGATATCTTACAGGGTAATTAGATTCAAAAACATAGAGAACCCCTCTAGGCAAAACCTTAAGTTACAAAAAAGATACACAGACAGAAATAGTTATTCTATTCAGCACAATTCTTTTCTCAGCCATTTAAAGAAATCATAATCTAACACATACCTAGCTAGATTACTTACTAAAAGTTCTAAGACTCCATTCCTGTTCTGTCCCTGGCAAGAGCAGCATACAGAGAGACACAGACCCTTTGTTTCTCTCCCTCCTCCCAGCTTTTGAAAGTATCTTGTCTCCTCATTGGTCATTTTGGTCAGGTGCCAGCGAGGTTACCTTTAGCTTCTTAACCCTTTACAGGTGAGAGGAGCTTTCCCCTGGCCAGGAGGGATTTCAAAGGGGTTTACCCTTCCCTTTATATTTATGACAGATGTATATATATATATTTAAAGAATGGCTTTGTATTGTCTTTTATGTCCCTTGCTAGGTGTAATTAATTTTGTGCGTTAGCCTTTCTGGTTACCTCTACACTGGAATAAAAGACCCATGACACAGCCGCAGCTGGGCCAGATCAGCGGGCTCGAGCTGTGGGGCTAAAAATTGCTGTAGAGACATTCAGGCTCAGACTGAAGCCTGGGTTGTGGGACCTTCCACACTAACGGGGTCCCAGAGTTCAGGATCCAGTCTGAATACAAACATCTACACAGTAATTTTACAGCCCCACAACACAAGTCAGCTGACCCAGACCACCGCGGGTGTTTAATTGTTGTGTAGATGTACCTTCCGATTTTGTCCCTACATGCTTGTGCTATTCTTTCATCCAGGTTTCCATTTTTTGTAGGGTTTCTTTTTGATTTTAAGTTCATTAAAGAGCTCCTGATGGATCAGATCAGATTAGAACAGAGTTCTGCACTCTGCCAGGACTCTCACATGTTGTGGGATAGACAATGGGTACCTCAGACATTAATGGAGGGGGGGGATTTTATTATTATAGTTGCCATGGATATGTGTGCAGGTAAAAGAGAACTTGGAAATATAAGACACATATGCTTAATGTTAAAGAAAAGTCTGGATTGTGCATAACATTCGAGATATTGTTGAAGATTAATTCATCATGTGTAAACATGACTCTCTTATCACGCCAAAGTAATAGAAGGAGTAAGTGCTGGTCCTACAAGGGAGACTGATTTAAATACAGGTCCTCAGGTTTTTCAGGTTTTCAAGAATTTACGGAAGGAAAACAAACACAACATGCCCATTTGCATCATTTTTTGTCTTTCCCTCATTTTATAAAATGGTCATCCTCATGAAAAAGTCTTGCAGGTGCTCATATTGCATTATTATTGCAGATTCCCCTTCCTTAGAAGTTTTTAAGGTCAGGCTTGACAAAGCCCTGGCTGGGATGATTTAGTTGGGATTGGTCCTGCTCTGGGCAGGGGGGACCTCCAGAGGTCCCTTCCAACCCTGATATTCTATGATTCTATGATTCTTTTATTAAAAATAAAATAATCTAAATGTGATGAGAGTGAGAATGCTATGATTAACAACATAATTTTATAGTGACATACATACTTCACAGGCAAATGAAATAAATGGGACCTACCTTTGACCTCACACCAGTTTAATTAGTGTTGTGAGGTGTCCAGTTTTCGACCAGAATACCCAGTCGAAAAGGGACACTGGCCGCTCCGGTCAGCACTGCTTATTGGGCTGTTAAAAGTCTGGTCGGCATCGCAGTGGGGCTAAGCCTGGCAGGCTCCCTGCGTACCCTGGCTCCGTGTGGCTCCCGGAAGCGGCGGCATGTCCCTGTGGTTCCTAAGCGCACGGGCAGCCCGGAAGGCTCCACACACTGCCCCCAGCCTCAAGCCTTGGCTCCGCAGCTCCCATTGGCCAGGAACCGTGGGCAATGGGAGCTGCGAGTGGGGCCTGTGGGCTTGGGCAGCACATAGATCCGCCTGGCCCCGCCTCCACCTAGGGGCCACAGGGCATGCCAGCTGCTTCCAGGAGTCACCTAAGGTAAGTGCTGCCTGGAACCCACACCCAAACACCCTTCTATGCCCCAACCCTCTGCCCCAGCCCTGAGCCCCCTCCCGCACACTAACTCTCTCCCAGAGCCCACACCCCGTCCTGCACTCCGAACCCCTCGGTCCCACCCTCCAGCCGTGAACATCCCTCTGCACCGCAAAACCCTCATCCCCGGCCCCATCCCAGAGCTCACACCCCCAGCTGGCGCCGTCACCCTTCCTGCACCCAAACCCCCTGCCCCATCCCAGAACCTGCTCCCACACTCTGAACCCCCCACTTCTGTCCCCACCCCAGAGCCTGCACCCCGAGCCAGTGCCCTCACCCCCTTCCACAACCCAACCCCTTGCCCCAGCCCGGTGAAAATGAGCGAGTGAGTGAGGGTGGGGGGAGAATGAGGGGGGATGCAGTGAGCAGGGGTGGGGCTTTAGAGAAGGGGCAGGGCAGAGGCAGGGAAAGGGTGTTTAGTTTTCTGCAATCAGAAAGCTGGGAAGCGTAAGTTTAACTCAATTGACTTCAGCGGGGTCACTCCGGCATTACACCAATGTAAGAGTAGGCTCAGGCCCAAATTCTCTTACCCATTTCAGTACAGACACAACGCAAGAGTTGGAGGCAGTCAAAATGTAGGCTGTTGGTGGGGGAAGGGCAACAAGCGTTACAGCACAAGGGATGCTGCAATCCGTGATGCATACATATGAACAATTCCATTTGCTACTTTATGGTTTGTTTATGTTTATAAGTATAAATTATGATTTATGTCCTTTTTTGTTTTTTTTTAAAGATATATATTTCCTATGCAATTTTTACATCTCCCCTCACCTCTGAGGCCACAATAGGTCGATTCAAGCCTCTTCAAGCTGCTCCTACTCTTTACAATACAACCCCAAAGAGCTGTTGTGGCAGGTCGGAATCAACAAAGTGCCGCCCAATCTGGTTGTCACTCCTCCCCTTGATATACACCCTGCCCCGGTGCCTTAAGGGATGTGGCACAGACATATGGCAGACCTACACCATCTATGGATTCCCCTATTACTGAGGGTTGCCAGCTCATTCAGCTTTAAAGCAGCTTTGTGTTACTGCAAAAGCTTGTTAGGGTTGAGGACCAAACTTTCTAGGTCTAACTTCTTCGGAAAATAAAATTTAACAACCAAGACAGGATGTTTAGAAACCCACTTTATCCCATAAGCACACTAAGATACAAAGTAAAATTTAATCTATACTATCACTGTAACTGTTTGGAAGATTCCTTTGCTTACTGTAATGAATCCTAATCTAGGAACTGTAAATTGTATAATCATTTCCCCCCCCCCCCGCCACGTTCTTCATATCGAACCAGAATATAATGCCTTACAAAGCAACACATTCCTATACCATTTAAGACTTTTGTTAAGGGATTCATGTAAAGAATTATGACAATGCTCTGCTAAATCCTTGACAACAGAATTCAGGGTCTTATTAACACTTGTATGATTATGAAGCACCAAAGAAAGAGAGAAACAAAACACCCTTGTTCTTAAGAAATGTGTGCTTTCCCTTAGTACAAGCCAGGAAGATTGGCAACTCTGGGGAGGGGGGGAAGGAAAATATTTGTACAGGAATAATCCAGGAGGCTATTATAGAACACTGGAAAAGTAGAATGTTAGCTTTTAAATATAAAAGACAGGACAAAATAGAGTTTCTTGTCATCATTTTGCAGTGTTCTGTTCTGAAAGTAGGACAGCCTGTGTTCCAGTCTTACCTCATCTTGAGACTTGACCAATGTTTTAAATGTTCTTTCCCCACTTTCTCCATCTATCATTTTTTTCCGAATCTATATACAAGAAGGTGAAGAAAAAACAAAACCAGAAAAAAACAAACAAAAAAATAAAAAAGCAAGAAGGAGGTAGGGGGAAGAGACAAAAGGAAAATCAAAATCTAGGCGTGACATACAACATGATTAATGTTTTCCAAGATCTTTTGCATCTTATGAGCAATCCTATCATATTGACACATTTGAAAATAACAGCCCGTACACGCCTACTTATCGTACCCCTACGAAAGAGAGCCCAACCCTGTAATTGATACTTTTGTGGAGCAATCTTATTGACACTATTAAGACTCCTCATGATGGTAAGGACTCTACTTGTATGAGTAACGGTTGCATGACTAAGCTCAGTGAGCCATGAGTATGAATTCCTGCACTCTTTGCAAACCCAGAACTCCCAGTGAAGTCAATAGGGATTTTCGGTGCAGAACTAATGCAGATTGCCTAATAACTGTAGTTATTCTCATGATAGCTAATTGAAAGTCAGCTGTAGTGTGTCTTAAAATGGATATGTACAAACTTTTTGTTTCAGTCTGTGTGGATTAACCCTCCCCAAGTTTTACTTTGAGTTTTGGGTTCAATGCAGTACTCAATTGGAACCACCGACTTTCAGCTGGCATTATACTGAAACCTGAATTGCACTGTTTTGAATGGTTCTACCATTCATGATGGCACTTCCCATTATATAGAGAGAATAATGGGGAATCTTAATCTTAAAACTATAATCTTTCAAATGACAGGGTTTTTTTAAATGTGCCAGGTGTATAAGAGAAGAAAATACATAGATTCAAAATAAATTTCAGAAACTGTTCACTAAACCTGCATTTCTCTTCAGACAAAAATCATACTTTGTCAGAGCAATGAAAATCTGAAGTCCTCTGTCATTTAGAAGAACAAGAGGTTAAGGAAATTGGAGGAATCTGCACCAGTTATTATATTTCAGCTATGACCCAGAACAGTGAAAAATATATACATCAAAGCAGGCACTACATTACTGGTGCATCTTACCTCAACTTTAATATCGTTTTCTAGCTCAGCATCCAGAAAATCCAGTGTAACAGGCTCCTGAGATTTAGGGTTCTGAAGCAGAAGATATTAAACAAATCAAATAACAAAGATCTCTCACTTGATGTTATGAATAGGTTACTGAAATCATTCAAACCCTCCCTGAGATCAAAAAAGACTGTTTAAATAGGATTACTTACCATTCTATCTTTTAATCAGATATAGCATAGTGGATTGCTAGCAGTGCTAGTTCACTTAAAACGGATTTTAAAAAGAGAGAGGTAATCAGGTGAGTGATAATTGGATTAACTCTAAAAACTAGTGCTTGCCTATGGTCCAGTCACACACAGTGTTAATGGCTGAAGGCTGCTTCCTCTGCTGTTGGTTAGTCACAAATTGTAAGCATGATAACGGGGTGACCTGTTAGGAAGGAGTCATTCCTTAACTTTCCTACCACCAAAAAGAAAGGGGAGACAAGCAGTGAGAAAATTTTCTGGGCGACTAGTAATATCAACACCTACACTCTTCTACAGAAGACTAGTGGCAATGGCATGAATCAGTTGTGGGTGGAGATGAAAGGGACAGCAAGTACAAGACAAAGGAATGTCAAAGGGATAAGATCCAATGAAAAGAATCTCTTATGGAAACGTGTTCATGGAACATATAGTTGCCTCAAACAAAAAGTCTGATATTATTTGTAATAAATGAAGCTTTGATAAAGCAAGGCAGTTAGGACATGTAAAACTTTAATCACACGATCAGTCCTACTGACTTCAATGTACTTCAGTACCTTGCTGAATCAGGATCTAAACAAGCAAAGAACTAAAACGGAAATTGTTGTGACCTGCAGAAACATGTCTTCCATATCTCACGTTCTGTATACCAGTGTTTTTCAAAGTTTGGGTCGTGACCCAGTACTGGGTCGCAGCATATAAAGCACTGGGTCACCTTGCTCAGCGACCCAGCGGCTCTGGACAGCACTGGCGACTGGGACGTTAAAAGTCCCACAGGCAGGGCTGCCTGGCCAATGGGACCTGTGTGTGTGTGTGTGTGTGCCTGTGGGTGAGAGCTGCGCCGAGCTGCTTGTGCACTTCCGCCTAGGAGCTGGACCTGCTGCTGGCCGCTGCCAGGGCACAGCATGGTCTGCGGTGCCAGGACAGACGGGAAGCCTGCCTCTGCACCCTGGCTGCGCCGCTGACTGGGAGCTGCTGGGGGTAAGTCCATGCCCCAGCTCTGCACCCCAATCCCCTGCCCCGGCCCTGAGCCCCCCCAAAACACAAAGCCCCCTCCTGCACCTCAAACCCCTCATCCCTGGCCCCACCCCAGAGCCTGCACCCCCAACCCAGAGCCGTGACCCCCTCCCACACCCCAACCCCCAGACCCAACCCTGAGCCCCCAAACCCAGAGCCCCTCATTCCCAGCCCCACCCTCCAGCCCTCATCCCTGCACACCAACCCTCTGCCCCAGCCCTGAGCCCCCCACACACACCAAACCCCTCATCCCCAGCTCCGTTGGGTCGCAGGCATCAAGAATTTTCTTCAACTGGGTCCCCAGAAAAAAGTTTCAAAACCACTGCTGTATTCTACTTCAATAGTGGTGCATAAGTGTCCTTTAAACAGAAGGTCACTGTGTTGTACTGAAACCCTTTGCTTCAGCAGCACTTAGCGAATTTTCCACTGGATTTTTTTTTTTTTAAACACAGAATAGACACAATAAAGGGAATTGCTAAAGGGAGTTGTGAGTGCAGAGTGGATTCTGACAGAAAATCAGTCACGCTGCAGCCAATGTGCTTCACATATGTGATTCACAGATCACAAAGGTGACTTCATTCTAACTGAGGTTCAAGATCTTCTTTTTCCGCCTCATAATCTTGAATGCATTTATCCTCAAGACACCCCTCTGAGGTAGGGAAGTACTATTATCCCCATTCCACAGATGGAAACTGAGGCATAGAGAGGTCAAGTAACTTTCCAAAGAGGAAGTCTTTGGAAAAATAGAGAATTAAAACCAGGTTTCTCAAGTCCCAGGCTACTATCCTAGCCACTGGACCATCCTTGATGCACATGTGTGAAGTTAAGTGTGACTATATATGTTTGCTGGATTAAGGCTCTATGTAGGATTGTTACTGTACCAAGTGGTTCAGTGGGCACGGGGGGCATTGGCTGAACAAATCACAAGCCCTTAACAGCTATAATTTTACAACCATCTGTTCCTAACTATCCCTAGTCCTGGAGTAAAAGCTCCCAGCAAAATCCTGGTTACTCAAAAGTTATGTAAGGCACACATGTAGTTTAGGCTTTTAAGTAAAAGGATTATGGGGTATATTTTTTAAACCCTGCGAACATGATACTATGGATTGATTTAGTACAGAAGAGGAACCAGGTCACCAATGTATTTTGTTTTTATTCGCTGGAAGAAAATGTGCTTTGTGTAAATGGGACATTACCTATAAAATGGGACTTCAAGGCCCAGCTTAGCTCAGTGGTTTGAGCATTGGCCTGCTAAACCCAGAGTTGTGAGTTTAATTCTTGAGGGGGCCATTTAGGGATCTGGGGCAAAAATTGGGGATTGGTCCTGCTTTGAGCAGGGGGTTGGACTAGATGATCTCCTGAGGTCCCTTCCAACCCTGAGATTCGATGACATCATTCTTTGTGATGTAATTAGCTAAGCAAAATTTATTATTGCTTGGTATATGCTAAGCTCTAATTTATTAGGGAGATAAATCAAAGGGACAGAGGCATCTTCTTCCAGGTGCCATAGGATCAACCGTGCTAATTTATTTTTATAATAAGTCTAAAATGTCTTCTTTCAAAGCAGCAAAGAGTCCTGTGGCACCTTATAGACTAACAGACGTATTGGAGCATAAGCTTTTGTGGGTGAATACCTACTTCGTCGGATGCATGGAGTGGAAATTTCCAGAGGCAGGTATAAATATACAAGCAAGAATCAGGCTAGGGATAACAAGGTTAGTTCAATCAGGGAGGATGAGGCCCTCTTCTAGCAGCTGAGGTGTGAACACCAAGGGAGGAGAAACTGCTTTTGAGAATGCTTGGTGAAGATCTTGTAGGTGTTGGACTCTCTCTGAGGGGTTGGAGCAAACGTGGTTGTACCTCAGCGCTTGGCTGTATACAATGGATTGTGTGATGTGTCCAGGATGGAAGCTGGAGGCGTGAAGGTAGGCATAGTGGTCGATGGGTTTTCGGTATAGGGTGGTGTTAACATGACCGTCACTTATTTGCACTGTGGTGACTAGGAAGTGGACCTGCCATGTAGATTGGTCCACGCTGAGGTTGATAGTGGGGTGGAAGCTATTGAAATCATGGTGGAATTCTTCCAGGGTTTCCTTCCTATGGGTCCAGATGATGAAGACGTTATCAATGTAGCGTAGGCAGAGAAGGAGTGTGATTGGCGAGAGCTGAGGAAGCGTTGTTCCAGGTCAGCCATAAAAATGTTGGCATATTGTGGGGCCATGCGGGTGCCCATAGCAATGCCACTGGTCTGGAGGTCTATATTGTCACCAAATTTGAAATAATTGTGCGTGAGGATAAAGTCACAGAGCTCAGCAACCAGCTGTGTTGTGGCATCATCAGGGATACTGTTCCTGACAGCTTGTATTCCATCTGTGTGCGGGATGTTTGTGTAGAGAGCCACTACATCCATGGTGGCTAGGATGGTGTTTTCTGGAAGACCACCAATGCACTATAGTTTTCTCAGGAAATCAGTGGTGTCACGGAGATAGCTGGGAGTGCTGATGGCATAAGGTCTGAGTAGAGAGTCCACATATCTGGACAGTCCTTCAGTGAGAGTGCCAATGCCCGAGGTGATGGCGCGTCCAGGATTTCCAGGTTTGTGGATCTTGGATAGTAGATAGAATAACCCCGGTCAGGGCTCTACGGGTATGTTGATTTGTTCCTGTGTTAGTGTAGGGAGTGTCCTGAGTAGATGGTGCAGTTTCTTAGTGTATTCCTCAGTGGGATCTGAGGAAAGTGGCCTGTAGAATACTTTCAAGATAACACTGAACAGCACACTGATACACAGTTACCCTCGCACCAACAGCACAAGAAGAAGAACTCCACATGGACTCCCCCTGAGGGTCGAAATGACAGTCTGGACCTATACATGGGAGGGTTCCACCAATGTGCACAAGCAGAAATTGTGGAAAAACAACATCACTTGTTTCATAACCTAAGTTGTGCAGAACGCAATGCCATCCACAGCCTCAGAAACAACCCTGACATTATAATCAAAGAGGCTGATAAAGCAGGTGCTGTTGTCATCATGAACAGGTCTGACTACCAAAAGGAGGCTGCCAGACAATTCTCCAATACCAAATTCTACAGGCCACTTTCCTCAGATCCCACTGAGGAATACACTAAGACCGCTATGCCTACCTTCATGCCTCCAGCTTCCATCCCGGATACACCACACAATCCATTGTCTACAGCCAAGTGCTGAGTTACAACTGCATTTGCTCCAACCCCTCAAAGAGAGTCCAACACTTACAAGATTTTCACAAAGCATTCTCAAAACTACGATACCCACACGAGGAAATAAAAAAACAGATCAACAGAGCCAGACGTGTACCCAGAATCCTCCAGCTGCAAGACAAACCCAAGAAAGAAACCAACAGAACTCCACTGGCCATCACATACAGTCCTCAGCTAAAACCTCTCCAACGCATCATCAGTGATCTACAACCCATCCTGGACAGCGGTCCCTCACTTTCACAGGCCTTGGGAGGCAGGCCAGTCCTCGCCCACAGACAACCCGCCAACCTGAAGCATATTCTCACCAGGAACTACACACCGCACCATAGTAACTCTAACTCAGGAACCAATTCATGCAACAAACCTCGATGCCAACTCTGCCCACATATCTACACCAGAGTCACCATCACAGGACCTAACCAGATCAGCCACACCATCACCGGTTCATTCACCTGCACGTCCACCAATTTAATATACGCTGTCATGTGCCAGCAATGCCCCTCTGCTGTGTATATTGGCCAAATTGGACAGTCCCTATGTAAAAGGATAAATGGACACAAATCAGATATCAGGAATGGCAATATACAA